ATTTCTATAAAAACCTGTCTGAAAATGAGCTGATCAGATCTTGGTCACTTTATGATGTCATAACGATGTTTTGGCTTGTGTAACCATTAGCCAATCATCAACCAAGGTCTTTTTAATAGAATCTTATTGTGATGAAACTATTTATCAATATAGTATAATACACAATAACATGGTCTAAAATAATTAAAGCAAGCACACTTACTAAAAGGTATCCAACAATCTGATCAAACTCTGTTAAATCAATCTTATTTTTATTAATTGAATGTGTGTGCATGTAACCATAGTCAGTGAATAGCTGTGAAATACATTTGTTTAAATAATGCACTAAAGTTTGTTTTTTGAAAGATAAATTACTCTTCATATATCATGTGTTTCAGTTACACAAGAGAATACAACATTTGTATTTACAATGTGCTGTCTAAAGGCGCATTTCCACTGCAGCGCGGTTTAAGCGTGCCGTGCCAAACCCGGCCCGTTTTTGGTTGCGTTTCCACTAGGGGTAGTTCCGGCTAACGGGTACTTTTTCACAGTTTTTCTGGCTCTCCAAAATCGTGGTTCTTTCCGGGCCAACAACCAGGCTGAGTATGCTAAACTAGTGTCGTGAGTGGCTACAACTACAACAAAATGAACATATTTGACCGTGATTTAATTGTAATACACGTTTCAAAATGATGCCGAAGTAACAACATACTGATACCGGTTAGTAAAAACCATGAATTAATGCTTTGACAAGTCTGCAGACAGACGGCAGGCGAAAAACCTTTTAAAATGCATGTTTTCTAAATGGAGATCGGCTAAGCTAACGTTGTATATGCTCCGACCGTCCACACTCACAACAACGGCCTACAGACATTATAAACCAGCGACTGCATTCGCCATGACACAGGCAGTCTGTGGTTTGTTTGCAATTGTTTAACTTTTGTCTAGTTTCTGAACAGACGAGGAGCTGTGAGCTCTGAGGGCTAACGGCCCCTCCACACGGCGGTGTGCATTGTCGCTTGCCGGCGGGCATGTCTGAAGCTAGACCAACAACCAATCACCTGAATCTCCCGCCCCGGACACACACCGCCCCGGACACACAAGCAGCAGTTGATTGGCTAGAGCTTGTACTGGCATATGATTCGATTGGCTGAACGCTTCCGTCAAAGCTTCAGAAGTAGAACATTGCTCTACTTTTGCAGCGAGCACCGCGAGAAAGGCTACGCTTTGCTCCCACAATGCAGTTCGGCGAAGCGTGACGTCACCCCATTCAAAGTGAATGGGCAGAAGCGTCAACGCATGCCGCCGTGTGTAGGGGCCGTAAGAGCTAACGGCTGATGTTGGTTTTGTGGTTCGCATTGAAGATGACGTCACGGCTCCACACTGCGTTACTATAGTTACTGCCCCAGTTCCTAAACTGTAATGGAAACGCAGCATAAAGTGATTCTGGCCTACCAAGGCCTAACTATACCGTACGAAGCCCTGCAGTGGAAATGCGCCAATATAGACTATTTATCTATTGAATCATCAGAAAACAGGCTACTGTATATACAGTAGTAAAATATGTCAATATGTATTTCTGAAATGACCTATCAGGAACGAAAGTGTGGGTCATATTCTCCAGCTCTAATATGTATTGACATGTGACAAATAGAAATGGAAGGGATTTGTTGATAGTGTTCAGTTTCAAAAAAGTGTCAAAAATATTTGTATCAGCAAAATCAAAAAGACCTCTACACACTGTTGGGAGAAGCTGTAGCTGCTATAATACACCACCACCCTTCATTATAATAAGAGAGAGAGAGAGAGAGAGAGTAAGACGGAGGGAGAGAGAGGGGGCAAAGTGTGTGTGACCATGATGTCATGATTCAGATGATCGGTAGTGAAGCAGCAGAACAAATGAACCAGATCCTCTCCCTGTGTCTTCTGAGGTATTTAAAAAGTGTCCTTCAGATAGTCCTGTGAAAGTAGTTCACTGTGAGTGTTCATAATTCACTTGTATTTAAAATAAATCAGTCTTCTCTACGGTATAATCCTCATCCATGTTGAGATTACAACACGTAAAGTTTGAGAGATTAACCCCTGTAGGGATTTTGGGCAGTGTGTGAATGTGGGTTTGATTTGCGTCTTTCTACTCTGTCCTGAATATACTTTAACAAAGATTTGAAGAGAGGGAGGACATTTTATCTGCTATTGCCTCGATAGTATAATGTGATAGTATAATTTATTTATATGTCCCGCCATTGACTCATTTACATGTGTGTGCTGAAATTACTCAACACACATTCATGTTAAGGGGTTAAAACCATTGCTGCTGGAAAACAAACTGGACCAGAATCTGTTAAAATACCTTTTTATTTAATTTCCTCTTATCTTTGCCCCTTATGTAAAATCAGATTTACTGTAAGACAACCTCTGTTTTGTTTCATTACGTTAGGAGCCTGCACCCACATGCAGGCCTCGGGTTTATAAGGTTACATTGTTTTTTCTCAATTCTCTAATCACACCGAAGTCATTCAGCAAACTACAACACCCTTTCCAGTCGGTTTGTGAGCTGGATTCCTCAGCCATGTGACTGCCAGTGTTCATCACTGTTTTTCCACATGTCTGCGATCAGCTGGTTGCCTCCAGTCACAAGCCTGTAAGGTCTGAAGCAGTTTTATAGTGAACTGTCCACAACTGCATTGTGGACCGAGGTCTGTTCCCACGACTTAACTGATCGTTACCAGCCATGAGCTCATGACTGTGAACACATTGGAGCCAGTGTTTTCTCTGAGGTCATACTGACGTAAGGAAGTCCTGTGTGCCATCTTTTAAAAGCAGTGTCAATTTCATTACTGAATACTATGACTAAACATGTTCGTTATGACCTTTTGTACCATGACTGAGCTGGGAAAATGACGAGGCAGCAACGATGTCCTTCACCAGTTTTTTTTTTGTGCCATAATCGAGCAGCCCTGCAAAATGGCAAAAATCATAATCTCGATTATTTGGGTCAATAATTGTAATTGCGATTATTAAATGCGATTATTCATTGACTTTAAAAACATCCATTTATTGGAGAAAAAAAAATGTGAACAGTATGTTTTTAACAGTTGATTACCCTGAACTTCAAGTATAATTCAACTGAAAAACCAAATAAAAAAAGTAATAATAAAAAAATAATTGTTTTATTTCGATAACGTTGTTTTCTTAATCGTTGCAAGCCATAATCGCGATTAAAATACGATTAATTGAGCAGCCCTATCACCAGCTCTGTGTGACTATATTACCATGATGGATTGTTGGCTGCAAATAAATTACAAGGTAGCTACAAAAATAAATGCATCAATCAATGCAGCACTTGTGTGTCCTGTGATGTGCGGTGGGCGCCATACCAGGAGTCAGGAGGACTCAGAGTACATTACTTGTCTAAATGACAGTTTAAAAACGACAGAGGGGGCTTGGGAGAAGGAAACAAGGTCATATTTTGGCTAGACTAGATTGAATTCAATGCTCATTTTTATGTGATGACGAATGTAGACTGGAGTGTCCTCATATTTCATTGAAATAGATGCGATTTTCTAAAAGTGAAATGATCAGACTCAACTTAAAGCTCAAAAACAGCATGAGGGTCAATGTGCTTAATGTAAGAAACTAATAAGCACATTTGACACAGGGTAAACAAGACAAAACCGAAAAGCACATTCAACACTATTGCTTTTTGCTGAAATGAGATGGAGCAAACCGAGTCAATAAAATATTTACTCTAACCTACTTGGGAGTCCAGGGGCAGCGGGTTCGTTGCACAGGGACGTCTGATACTCTATCAGATGATTTTATATACCATATGTGGGAGTGTCTAAAAATACAAGCTGTTAGTGTATGTGCTGAACTAAATATAAAGATGGCATCAACTTCTTAATAAAGATGCGTTTTGGTTGGTAATGTAAGATGTCAGCAACACCTAGCTCTTGCTATAATTTGTATTCCTCAAATGCTGTCTGGTTGAGCCATAAGAACAAAATGGAAGCCATAAGAAGTCGTTCATGTGAGGAAAAGATGCAAAAACTAATTTGTAAAATTGCATTGTTTACATTTGTGTGGATAGGAAGACTGTTTCTAGTGGCCTTGCTTCCATTGCAGGAAAAAACCTTCATATTAAGCATTTCTGTTCATTTCTTCTCTATATTACCTTCTTAAAACATGCACACTAAATGCAATAACATGCTTTATCTTTAAATGTATTATAAATTATAATACATCCATTATGAAGACAATTTGACGACCCTGTCCATCAAGATGACGACAATCATAAATTATAACGCAACCTTTGTACTGACTTTAATGTTTATTTTATTATCTTTGCTTTTTAATGACTAAGGGTGTCCGCGGGGTCTTAAGTATTAAAAGTTGATAAATCAAATTAGCGAAAATGAAGGCTATTAAACGGCATTTCCCAAGGTATTACATTTTGTAGCTTGTTTCCAATAAGTATATGAATTGTCCAAAGAGGTTGTATTCTACAGTCTGCCTGAATGTAATCATTGCGTAGGTGTGTAGTGTGATTCTGTGTAGTTTATTTATGGCATCCCGTTGGATTTGACGTCATCTGAACAGGACATCGCACGCTCACTGCTTGATAGCGCGAAGGTCCGTTTACGGCGGTTGTTAAACAACATCGTTATGGGGAAATGCAAGTTTGCGTCCAAATGGTTGGAAGATAAAGAGGAAGGACAATCAATACTATATAGTCAATGTGAGGTAAAGTTTGTCGCCAAGGTAACCGGTTAAAACTCGAAGTGGTGATGAGGTCTTAAAATGTATGGAAAGGGTCTTAAAAAAGCTCTTAAAAGGTATTACATTTGACTTCAGGATTCCTGCATATACCCTGTGACTGTTTAAATGCCATTTTCTTAATGTCTTTCATTTTTGTAAAGCACTTTGAATTGCCTTGTGTTGAAAGGTGCTATATGAATAAACGTACCTTGCCATTGTACGATAAAATCTTCTAACATCTCTTTCCTCCTCTTGTGTTTCAGCGCGCTCGGGTGTGGGTCCCCGATGCAGAGGAGGTGTGGAAGTCTGCTGAGCTGACCGAAGACTACAAAAATGGCGACACCTCCCTGCAGCTCATGCTGGAGGATGGAACTGTGAGGACTCTCTCCCTCTTCATGATTTTTCTCTCTTTTTGTTGCCTCCTCTGTCTCTCTCTCTGTCTCCGCCTCAAAGACACTTCAAAGTGCTGGCTCTCATTAGCGGTTATTGGTTTTACCATTAGCACTCTCCACAAATGAGACCTGCTTTCAAAGATGCCCGAAGGAGCATTTAAAATGTAGAGCAGTACATTTAACTCTGCAGTTTAGAATACAAACCGCTTCCGGCACACAGCACTCCTGATAATGAAAGCATGTTGCCAGCAAGACCATTTGCCATATTGCTCCTTTAGTCATGTGACCATACGTCAATGTAGCTAGCAACATCGGTGCAACTGTACAAACGTTTTCCGCCATGAACTCCGCAAGATGTCTAGAGAATCAGAATAAGAAATGCTTTATTTATTCCTTAGTGGAAATGTGCTGCCTTTTTAGAGTAACATAAGATCAAATAAACAATCGGATATACAGAAGTACAGCTAAAGTTGCTTCCTGCTTTCTTACAGTGCAGACGCTCTTGCTTCTGCTCACCTTTTTTCTGTTTTTTAAAAAATCTATTTTTCTTCCCTGAAAACTTCGAGCAGCAGCTCCTGGACTGTAATTCATCACTGGGACTGTTATCCTCGTAAATCGACAACGGGCTTTTGCCATATTTCAATGTTTTTATGACGACATCAGTCTTACAGTATTGTGGCCTAGCAACAGCTAAAGCCTAGACTGCTGGTACTGCATGCTACTTGGCTAAAGCTAGTTAGCAGCTAAATGCCTCCCTTCTCTACGAATGACTTCCACAAACTACTACATAAAGTGTAATAATGATCTGATGATGGAACAGTTGAATAATATCCCACGTCATATAGCCTTAGTATAGTCTGTATTTAGTAGCCCAAAGCTAAATCAGGTCTGATAATTTGGTCATAAAGAGTCTTTTGCTCTTTCTTTAATACGTCTGACGATTCTGGTTCTGGTTTAATGTCATGCAAAATTGTTATCCATTCTAGATGATATTGGGTGAAAAAGTAAGGACATGAACCAAGGAATAAGTGACAGCTCTTTGGTGCCACTCCAGGCAGAGCTGAGATAAAGGATTTTTTGAATAACTCAAGGTTATCTGGGTTGCTAAATATCACGTCACATGTCTCAGTAGGCCTGCAGCAGCCAGAAAGCTCAAGCCCTCACAGGATGGAGACAAGTCATACCACAACCTTGAGGCAAATTATGTCTTTGAATAGCGAAACAAAAACAATTTAGGATTGTTATGCTTGTCTCTCATTGTGGATTTTTTGCTGATTATTGTGCAGATTAAGAATCAAATGATTTAATTCATAAAAGAACAGATTTAGATTATTGTGCCGTCTTAATGCCCTTATCGTTGTGCTTTGGTAAATAGCTGCCGTCAAAACTGAAAACAAGATTAGGACAATAACAGCTTTTGAGCGACTGGTGGTTTTGCTGCAGAGCCATGCCAAATCAGAAGCCAGTCTCATGACATTTTGAGTACAAATGCATGAAAAGCCGTATTAATACATAGTGGGTGTGGATTTCTGTTAATGATAATTAAAACTGCAACAGTAAAGGAGTTTCCAGAAGAAATCGCTCTATGGATTTTATCGCAGTACTTGATTTAAGATTATGTTGTGGAATTAACCTTTTCACTTTTGGCTTTAACAATATGAAGGCATGTTTCTCTCATCATTTGAGTATAAACATGTAACGGTGTCTGCTGGCAACGTAAGAAGACCAAGTGTTGAGAAAATCAACAAATAACATGGCACCAGAAAGGCAAGAGAAAGTAGTTGCTTATTACTTGGCTGTTAAAAATTCAGAAATCAGGACACAAAACTATTTTGATCCCAGCCGTTAGTTGGTGTTTTCTTTTAATGTATGTTTTTTTACATTTGTATGAATCGATTGAGGGCTATTCATGGTACATTGCTGTTTGATATGGCTATCCTCTATATACAGTGGGGCAAAAAAGTATTTAGTCAGCCACCAATTGTGCAAGTTCTCCCACTTAAAAAGATGAGAGGCCTGTAATTTTCATCCTAGGTACACTTCAACTATGAGAGACAGAATGGGGGGAAAGAATCCAGGAAATCACATTGTAGGATTTTTAATGAATTAATTGGTAAATTCCTCGGTAAAATAAGTATTTGGTCACCTACAAACAAACAAGATTTCTGGCTCTCACAGACCTGTAACTTCTTCTTTAAGAGCCTCCTCTGTCCTCCACTTGTTAACTGTATTAATGGCACCTGTTTGAACTTGTTATCAGTATAAAAGACACCTGTCCATAACCTCAAACAGTCACACTCCAAACTCCACTATGGCCAAGACCAAAGAGCTGTCAAAGGACACCAGAAACAAAATTACAGGCCTCTCTCATATTTTTAAGTGGGAGAACTTGCACAATTGGTGGCTGGCTAAATACTTTTTTTCCCCACTGTACATCTATAAAATACCTTAAGGCTAACCAAATGTACTACAAACTAAGCTAATCCAAGCCTAAATACTTAATTGTACCCAAAAAATGTATTTCATCAGTCTAGACATTAAATGTTCAAGCTTGGACGTATATTCGTTGCCTTTACCTTTTTTTAAGATTCACCATCTTTTGTTTTAGTATTTCATTGTGATTTGCTGCTATAACTCCTGTTCTGCTATGTTTTCTTGGTCATCTTTAGAACATCGAGCACAAACTCGACCCCAAGACGAAGAACCTGCCTTACCTGCGAAACCCCGACATCCTGGTGGGAGAGAACGACCTCACAGCGCTCAGCTACCTCCACGAGCCGGCCGTGCTGCACAACCTCAAGGTCCGCTTCATGGACTCCAAGCTCATCTACACCTACTGCGGTACGTGGCGCTTAAACTGTCTAAAGAAGACCTAATGCATGTTGTCACTGCTTTATTTACATAAAATATAAATCTATTAAGGATTTTGGATTTTATTAAGGATTTTGAATTAAGCTTTAAATGTCTAACGCCATCTCCCTTTATGAAAAAAAACAATCAAATGTGTGCCAAAATCTTTGTACGAGCAAACGTTTTGCTTTTTAAAGGGGACCTATCATGCACAATGCACTTTTCCACATAAATATGTGTCCCCGGTGTGTTGGGGAACTCACGCGGCGTCAGAAAATATAACCCTCTCTCTTTTCCTCCGTACCCAAATCTCTAAAAACGGGGAATAACGGAGCTGATCCAGATTTGCGTCCGATATGACGTAATATCGGAAATGTAGGCTGGCTTTACGCCCACGGCCCTATCAGAAACGTTGCTATCAGAACCTGTTTTGGACGTAATATGGTCGGTGTTCACATTAGCATCGCTAACACTCAGAGCTAACCTGTACTGGAGAGCATGTGTGTGTGAAGAAGCAGGAAGTAAAAAGGAACTCACCTTGTGGTATAACCGGCAAGAGAGAACGCCTTTGAGCTCCATACTGTTTCAGAAATAATCCTTGATAATCCATGATATGGCGTTTCATCACGCCAGTATTTAGTTTAGACAGTAGCTGCCGGGTCCCGCATGAGCTCAGCCCCGTCCTCTTTTTTTATCAACGCTTTATCCCCAAATCAGCACTTTTGAAACAGGAAGTGAAATAGAGGGATATGAGGCATGGCTAGAATGGGTAATCCGTTTGGTATTTTGAGCAAAACACTTCATAGACATTTTTTTAATATATTTTTATATATCTGAGACCTATGCTATTGCCTAAAAATTGCATGATAGGTCCACTTTAAACAATTATTTATTAGTTTATTCCACACATGGCAGTTATTTTAAAACAAAACATGTACACTTTACAAAACATATACACTTATACTGTTTTTTTTTTTTTATAGCGCATGGTGGAAAGGAACAGGGAGAAGAAAATCCTATTTGACCTGCCCCTTCTTACCCTGTATGTCTGTTACAGCTTAGTGATCTAACAACAGGAAATCATTTTACGATTAACCCGTAAACCTACAAATTACAGTAGATTGGAATTTACCTTCATTGTGTTTATAGCTCAGTAACTGTACACAATCGAACTGTAGTTCATTTCTGCACTTATGACACACTAATCAGTTTATTAAGGTTTCAACATGGATGATTTAAGCAATGCCTTGATCTCTGCAGACATCAATAACCTAACCAGCATTGTTTACTGTGTATTTACTCTCATTGTTACGTGTCCCTTAATGTACAATAAAGTGTTGTTTAAAGATCATTCAAGGGCATAAATACACTGCATGACATTGTTTCAGTCATGTAGTAACTTTGTTCTTGAAAACCTCAAATCACCCCTTCTACTATATTTTAAGGTTTTGATAATGATGCTACTAAGAAAGACAGAAAATATGACACACTGTATGTTCTGCCATATGCACATTATAAAAAAGATATATAACAACTTCATATACACATGCAAGATTGTTATCTGTATTTAAGATATTGGGCGCCTTTTTAATAAAAAAAACAATATGCATTATATTCAAAGTCAACTTTATTGTCAATCTTCCAGTTTGGTACAGACCAAGCAGCAAACTCTGGGGAAGAGCCGGGACGCCAATACGGAAGTGCCACACATTGCAGTTCATATATTGGCCGATAGGCGATGACTGCAGAAAGGAGCGATTTCAATAGACCCCCATGTTAAAATGCCCAACTTTACAGCAGAAAAAAACATGTTTCTACCCCTGGCTGCAATACATATTATGAATATAGTTAAATTCCACCTTCATGATTATGGATCTGTGAGTGAATTGTTTTCTAACACGACCCTTTTATTTATATTAGGTCTTAACGTTTTTTCATAAATTAGGGCGTGGTCACATTGAGTGACGGCTCTGTCTAGTGACTGCTGCTGCTAGCTTCTTGTCTCTCTGCTAGCTGCTCCGTGAAGCTACTGGCACTCTGCCTGGTCAGTTCATCCAGGGAACACAACTTGACCTCGGCCGTGTTTGTTTGTTCTTCATGCTTATATATCGGACTATTGTGACTCGCTCTGCGGTTGAAACAGACGGTGCATGAATGCGGTTTTGCGGTAAGTGAAATTCGAGTACTTTAAAATCATTAATACATAAATAATCAGCTACGTAATGAATGTTAAGGCTTGGGTTAGCGTGTAAGCGAGTGGTAGCTACATCGGTGCTAACGATGCTAATCGTAGCCTCCAAGTTAAAATCATAGACTGTATATATAAAGGTTGAAACTAAATAGACAAGCGTTAAGTGGGATAATACTGTAGAACAAACGGCTTCTGTTTGAGGTTATAAAATAAGGTCATTCTTGTAACTTAGAGAGATATTTTATTATGTAGGTAGGAACTGTATGCATCGCTAAGGTTAATTTAAATTGGCTATGCTCAAGTATGTAGACAAGCTAATGTCGAAGTAGTGTATGTGAAATCAACCTCACAATAAGATGTGTGTATATTACAATTATTAATGTCATATTTCAAGATGATTAGGTTAGATATTACAATACGGTTGACGGTAAGCATTGGTAACACAACTTCCAAAGTTACAGTAAAATAAAAAGGACCCTGACTCGGACAATACACAATCCAACATGTTCAACAGAAGAGAATCAGTTATATTGTTTGTACACATGGTACTTTACATATATATCTGTTTGTTTAAGGTGTCCAGGTGATGCAGACAGGCTGGACCAGAGAGTGAGAGACAGAACTGGACTCCTCACAGCAGTTAACTTCAGCACAGGTACAAAGACTCTATTTTCATACTGTACAAAGAATCAATAAAGATATTGGTTTAAATAAATGAAGTATTGACTTGAATACACTGATATACTGTACATTAAACAATACTAAATACTAGATCACCTACACATCAGTTAAGTTGAGGGTTTTTTCCATGCAAAAAGTTACATTTAGATATTAACAAGCACTATGACTTTGTCAGCTTTCTAATTTAATGTATTGAAGGCAAAGATATTTAACACATAGTGAGAATTGCTACTATTTATCTCAATATTGTGGTAAAAGTTATTCTTTCAGTGACACAACAGAGCAAGCTTCTACAGTTGTACTACGTTTTGATAACAGTTAAATATTATTTTGATAATAACATATATTTCAATGTTGATGAACTTCATACTGTTCATTCATAATCTGATTGTCTTTGTAGCTCACTGTTGAAATAAAAAAAAAACATTACAATTACAAAATAATTATATCTACAGCCCCTAAACACACAAACACACCGCTTTCATAAATAACACACTTGTTCTGCAATAATATGTTTTATGTTTCCTGTCATTTTTGTTAGGAAAGGACATGCCTGAAAGACTCAACATCCAAGAAAAACATTAAAAGCTGATGCTATGAGATTTTAAGACCAGTACACGACATTCACTAAGAAACTACTTTTATTGTGAAAACAGTCAGCTGATCGAATGCAGCTATTTCCACATCTACACTCCATCAGCTGATTATTTCTATTTGCCTCACTTTATGAGCTTCACATCACTTGTGCCTTGTACCGCAGAGTTTGCAACGTCACAAATAAATGGGGCCAATCTTCAGTCAGATGTGAGTAATCTAACATTTTCAGTACGAATAATGGACAAAAAGAGTGCAAATACAAATTATTGAAATGTGAACCAAAACTTAATCAAACATGTTTTAAATAAAAAGCACATATGGACAGAAGGTGTAAACCTATTAAATGTATAAGTGAACACATTTAGTCAAATTAAGTGATAGACTAGGCCTGTGCAGTTGGTATCAGCTATGCCCAGCATGGGCTCCTCCATCAGGCCTGGTCCTCCTCGCTGAGGAAAGACCCTCAGTCCTCTCCAAACCAACAGACAGGACGTCCATCACACGGAGGTTTCTCCCTGAAGTCTCTGCAGCTCTCTGGACACCACGCTGTCTCAATCCGTCCACACTGAATATGAGAGGAGGAAAAATGAAAATAATAAATGCTTTAGACTATAAGAAATATAAAGTTGACTGTAGAGTTGCTCAGTTTTTTTAGATTGTCAATACTATTACTGTATAACTAATATATCAGGTTAAGATAAGGTGGCCAGATTTTCAAAATTAAACCGAGGACATTTTGAGTTTTGCCATCAATATATCATTAACATATCCAATTTTCTTCACTGTTAAAGAAAAAAGGGGGACAATTCTGGTTCAATGTAATTCGAACATTTTAACTGTTGGATACAAACAGAAGGACGATAGCTCATATGAGACTTCCAAAGGTCTTTTATTTTGAAACTGTACATCAGATTGTCCAGATTCTCTCTGAGTGACTAGATGGGGTGTCCTGCTATCACCCTGGAGTGAAATAAGTATTTGATACTGGATAGTTTTTATGTTATTCTTATCTAAAAACAGAGGGATGATAGCTCATATATGAGACTTCAAAGGTCTTTTATTTTGAAACTCTACATCAGATTGCCCTGATTCTCTCTGAGTGACTAGATGGGGTGTCCTGGCACAGAGGAGGCGGGACCTGCTGCGAGCTGGAAGTTCCAGAGCTAGCTGAAGCTACCAAGCTAAGCTAACATGCTCCCCATCTGCACACTGCCGTCGCATTTTACGTTTCTAAGGTAAGCGGACATGAAACTATTCAGCAAAACTATAAATAATAATCTAAGTTATTGAGTTTTTAGCATAATACTTCAGAATCTTAAAATCCCTTAACGTTTGTATGCAATTGTGCTAAATTCAACACTGGAATCAAGCAAATATTAATGTTTGCATGACATTAGTTATTTATATTTTGATATCACTTAACTATACGTTTAATACATTTAAGTCAAGCTAAGGTACATGTGATGGTAGCTAGTTAGTGCTCTTACCTGTGAGGCCTCCTCCAAACAGCATAATAACCAGACTGTATCATTAAAACTAAGTACCAGTTCTAGATCCTTGACTTTAGACAAACAATTCAAAAGACAAAATGTATTTAAAGACCAATCTTTATTTGAATGTGCCTCTTAACTTGAGATATTAGTTATACAGTAATAGTATTGACAATCTAAAAAAAATGAGCAACTCAACAGTCAACTTTATATTTCTTATTGTCTACTCTAAAGCATTTATTATTTTCATTGTTCCCCTCTCATATTCAGTGTGGACGGCTTGAGACAGCGTGGTGTCCAGAGAGCTGCAGATACCAGGGAGAAACCTCCGTGTGATGGACGTCCTGTCTGTTGGTTTGGAGAGGACTGAGGGTCTTTCCTCAGCGAGGAGGACCAGGCCTGATGGAGGAGCTGATACCATAGCTGATACCAACTGCACAGGCCTCGTCTATCACTTTATTTGACTAAATGTGTTTACTTATACATTTAATAGGTTTACACCTTCTGTCCATATGCGCTTTTTATTTAAAACATGTTTGATTAAGTTTTGGTTCACATTTCAATAATTTGTATTTGCACTCCTTTTGTCCATTATTCTTACTGAGAATGTTAGATTACACATTCACATCTGACTGAAGATTGGCCCCATTTATTTGTGACGTTGCAAACTCTGCGGTACAAGGCACAAGTGATGTGAAGCTCATAAAGTGAGGCAAATAGAAATAATTAGCTGATGGAGTGTAGATGTGGAAATAGGTGCATTTGATCAGCTGACTGTTTTTACAATAAAAGTAGTTTCTTAGTGAATGTCCTGTACTGGTCTTAAAATCTCATAACATCAACTTTTAATGTTCCTCTTGGATGTTCTTCTTGACCCTCAGAGGAGAAGAAAATGTCATGTCTTTCAGGCATGTCCTTTCCTAACAAAAATGACAGGAAACATAAAACATATTATTGCAGAACAAGTGTGTTATTCATGAAAGCGGTGTGTAGATATAGATATAGATATAATTATTTTGTAATTGTAATGTTTTTTTTTTTTTATTTCAACAGTGAGCTACAAAGACAATCAGATTATGAATGAACAGTATGAAGTTCATCAACATTGAAATATATGTTATTATCAAAATAATATTGAACTGTTATCAAAACGTAGTGCAACTGTAGAAGCTTGCTCTGTCTCACTGAAAGAATAACTTTTACCACGTTTTTTTATAGTAGCAGATAGCAAATAGTAGCAGTTCTCACTGTGTTAAATATCTTTGCCTTCAATACATTCAATTAGAAAGCTGACAAAGTCATAGTGCTTGTTAATATCTAAATGTACCTTTTTGCATGGAAAAACCCCTCAACTTAACTGATGTGTAGGTGATCTAGTATTTAGTATTGTTTAATGTACAGTATATCAGTGTATTAAAGTCAATACTTCATTCATTTAAACCAATATATTTCTTGATTCTTTGTACAGTATGAAAATAGAGTCTTTGTACCTGTGCTGAAGTTCACTGCTGGGAGGAGTCCAGTTATGTCTCTCACTCTCTGGTCCAGCCTGTCTGCATCACCTGGACACCTTAAACAAATGGATATATGTAAAGTACCATGTGTACTGCAACTCCCTCCTGGCTGGTCTACCTGAATGTGCCATCCGACCTCTGCAGCTCATCCAGAATGCAGCTGCTCGCCTGGTCTTCAACCTTCCTAAATTCTCCCACACCACGCCGCTCCTCCGCTCCCTTCACTGGCTTCCGATAACTGCTAGAATCCACTTCAAGACAATGGTACTTGCTTACCATGCTGCGAATGGATCTGGCCCTTCCTACATCCAGGACATGGTTCAACCGTACACCCCAGCACGTGCACTCCGCTCTGCATCAACCAAACGGCTCGCTGCAGGGGGACCCAAGTTCCCATCAGCAAAAACACGTGGGTTTGCTATCCTGGCTCCAAAATGGTGGAATGAGCTCCCCATTGACATCAGGACAGCAGATAGCTTACACACCTTCCGGCGCAGACTGAAAACTCATCTCTTTCGACTCCACTTCGAGCGATAGAACTATTAACAAAGCACTTATATGCTAATAAAGGGCTGGCTTATCTAAAGCCAGTTGAGTAGCACTTGAAATGTTTTTGCTCTATGAAGCCTGATGTACTTATATGATTCTGTTTTCCTCAAGTTTGTATTTTGTTGGTCGAACGCACTTATTGTAAGTCGCTTTGGATAAAAGCGTCAGCTAAATGCAATGTAATGTGTACAAACAATATAACTGATTCTCTTCTGTTGAACATGTTGGATTGTGTATTGTCCGAGTCGGGGTCTTTTTTCTTTCGACATTAGCTTGTCTACATACTTGAGCATAGCCAATTTAAATTAACCTTAGTGATGCATACAGTCCCTACCTACATAATAAAATATCTCTCTGTTACAAGGATGACCTTATTTTATCAACCTCAAACAGAAGCCGTTTGTTCTACAGTATTATCCCACTTAACACTTGTCTATTTCGTTTTAACCTTTATATATACAGTTTAACTTGGAGGCTACTATTAGTATCGTTAGTACCGATGTAGCTACTACTCGCTTACACGCTAACCCAAGCCTTAACATTCATTACGTAGCTGTAGCTGATTAAAATCATTAACACATAAATAAAGTACTCACATTTTACTTACAGCGAAACCGCATTCATGCACCGTCTGTTTTATCCGCAGAGCGAGTCACAATAGTCCGATATATAAGCATGAAGAACAAACAACCACGGCCGGCTTCAAGTTGTGTTCCCTGGATGAACTGACCCTGTAGCTAGCTTCACGGAGCAGCTAGCAGAGAGACAAGAAGCTAGCAGCAGCAGTCACTAGACAGAGCTGTCACTCAATGTGACCACGCCCTAATATATGCATAACTTTAAGGCTTAATATCTTTATACAGCCTATGGTACAGACAGAGAGATCGAAATACCGTTTCCCACAATCCCGAATATAAAACAAATGTATATAAACATGTGTGCAAATATGTATGTGTGTATATATATATATACATAATCAAAGACACATTTGTACATGTGCAAACATTAAGACCTAAATAAAAACACAACAATCAATATATACAACATAACAGTCACTTCAATTTTTGAGAATGTACATTAGTGCAAAATTATACATAGAATTCTGTATTTAACTACATTTCCTACCCTCTCAGACTGAAAGCAGCATCTCAGTGTGTCTCCTGATGAATACAGACCAGTTCAGCTGCAGGTGAGCTCACACTTTCCCTCTGTGCTGCAGGAATCATTCTGGTGGCCATCAACCCGTATGAGCCGCTGCAAATCTATGGATCCGACATCATCAACGCCTACAGCGGCCAGAACACGGGCGATATGGACCCTCACATCTTCGCTGTGGCAGAGGAGGCTTACAAACAGATGGCCAGGTGTGTGTGTGTGTGTGTGTGTGTGTTACCTGAGTAGCCTTGGTTCTAGTCTCCTCCCTCTCTCTTCTGGGTTTTTAGGTCAAAGCTGATCCAGAAATAGACCCATGGTGGTCTCACCGACTTTCTCCAAGTCTTGCTTTTTTTTAATCACACACACATACTGTTTTTAATGCTGTCTTTTACAGCAGGATATAACCAGTATATCTCTCTGGCCACCCTCTAGGAGTTTGTCACATACTGTATATATATGCTTGTATATATCAGGACTATATACCTAAGTTCTCTCTACTTTCTTTCTTCTCAGTTTAAGTTGAGGCTGGCAGTCACCCTCTCAGTTTGTCCATTAAGACGTAGCACTGTTGGAAAACAGTTGTACAACTCCATGCCTAACATAAAATGTAGGGCTTTACAATTAATTATATTCATAATATAAGATGTTACAGTGTAGCCTGTTAACAGGCAGATTGTTCCAGAGTCCGGAGGCTTAAAAAGCAAATGCCTGGTCACCATCCGAGATCTGGGAATATCACAGAGCCATCCGCTGATCTACAGGCTCACAAAATGAATCAGAAAAATCAGTGCTATGTGTTACAATACGTTTGTTAATACTTACTAAGAAGGTATGAATACCTACACGGAGCCGGTGTAAATTCTCTAGCACCTTGGTAATAAAGAAGCACCTTTTAATTACAAAACGGACTATTTGAAAATAACATACAAATATGCAATAAGTCCTATTTTCTTTACATAATAACTTAAATCAGATCAGCTGACACTGATGGACTCTGCTTAAGTGATTGTGAAACACTAGTCAAGTTTCTTTGCATGGTTTGAGATCAAAAGTCTCAAATAAGCATCACATGCCCACAACAGCAACCGTCCCTTCCTTGAATGTTTTTAACTATGAGACAAACATAATAAAGAAGGACTGAGAGAAGAAATATAGCAAAGCAAATACTCAGGGCTGAAATAAGAGCCAAAGGTAGGAAAATGCCAAAGAAGAAAAAGATAGTAATAGAATCAGCCTTCGGACCAGCAGCTCGGACTTATTTCAGAGAAAGCTGGCACACTGCTTCTTTAAATAGGTAGTAGGTGAAAGTGCAGATATATTAGAGCTTGCAAAGGAACACAAAGGGTTAATAATCTGTTTTCACACCTGGTCTGCCTGCAGGTGATGATTGTTGATGATGGCATCTGACACTTTCTATCTGCCCGAGTCCTAACTGTTATTATTTGTGTCACACTCGGTACACATTACAATCATCACCCTTAACCCTTTCACCCTATATTTAAAGTCATTAGGTTATGAAGCGCTTAAAAGCACCTTTATGCCAGGCAGAGCAGACAGTTCTCCAATGTTCCACATGTGATAAATCCTTATGTTGTTTTTTTAGGGACGAGAGGAACCAGTCGATAATTGTGAGCGGGGAGTCCGGGGCTGGAAAAACGGTATCGGCCAAATACGCAATGAGATACTTTGCTACGGTCAGCGGCACCACCAGCGAGGCCAACGTGGAGCAGAAGGTGTTGGCCTCCAACCCCATCATGGAGGTGAGGACTGCAGGAAGCTCTCTGTGGAGAAAGAGATTATTATATTAGTTTGATCTTAAAAGAGAAGCTGTTTCCCTAATCAAAGTAAATGTAACTTTATTGTCAATCTTCCAGTTTGTGTGTACAGACAGAGATCGAAATACCGTTTCCCACAATCCCGAATATAAAAACAAATGTATATACAAATGTGTGCAAATATGTATATATATATACACACACAGTCAAAGACACATTTTTACATGTGCACACATTAAAACCTAAATAAAAACATAACAATCAATATATACAAAATAACAGTTACTGACACTCAAAGAAACCAGAACCAGTGTTAAAATAGAAAATGATGGAGAGTTAGTGTGTAAACTAAAGGCCCTCCACGGCAAGAACAATAACGATATAATGATGATTTTAAATACATTGTTTATAAATTGTTTAAGGTGGATGGCTGAATCCACCCCACCATTATAGTGGCATTGACACTGGCGAACTAATATCCTCAGGATCAATTTTATGAACCATAGAAACAATGACAGCTCAAAATCCAATTCAAAGACTATTTTATTAAACTTACTGAGAAATTCATTTGATGCTACTGTGTACTTAAAATTGCAGCTCAAAACCCTTAAATAAAATGTGTGAAAGATTGGAAAAAGCTCAGTTACATAGCTGTGAGTTTGTCTTCAAAGTCTTGCATCATTTTTCCTCGCAGTTTGTCTTTCCCTTTCTCCACAGTATAGTCACAAGCTCAGTTGATTTGTAGATGATGGTCTGAATGTCATGCCCTCCCCTCTTGCTCTCTCCTCCTCTGGCATTTACTAACCCCTTCCTTCAGTTTCTGGCCTGGAGCTGCTTTCCACTGAGATAACACAGGTCTTATTCTTGTGTGTGTGTGTGTGTGTGTGTGTGTGTGTGTGTGTGTGTGTGTGTGTGTGTGTGTGTGTGTGTGTGTGTAGTGTGTGTGTGTGTGTTGTGTGTGTGTTTGTGTGTTGTGTGTGTGTGTGTGTGGTGTGTGTTGTGTGTGTGTGTGTTGTTTGTGTGTGTGTGTGTGTGTGTGTGTGTGTGTGTGTGTGTGTGTGTGTGTGTGTGTGTGTGTGTGTGTGTGTGTGTGTGTGTGTGTGTGTGTGTGTGTGTGTGTGTGTGTGTGTGTGTGTGTGTGTGTGTGTGTGTGTGTGTGGTGTGTGTGGTGTGTGTGTGTAGTGTGTGTGTGTGTGTGTGTGTGTGTGTGTGTGTGTGTGTGTGTGTGTGTGTGTGTGTGTGTGTGTGTGTGTGTGTGTGTGTGTGTGTGTCGCAGGCAGAGTGGATACCTGCTCTGCTGAAAGACTCCTTGTCTGCAGTGAAAGAGTGTGTGTTCAGCCTTAACTCAGCAAGAACCCTCTGTGCTCACACACCATTTAACTCTGTTCAAGCCGTCTGCTCAAATAGCTGGTGTGTGTGTGTAGCCTCGCCCGTCTACCAACTATTCCTAGTAGGGTCATTGATCAATTCCGTATCTTGAACTAATGCTGCTGACTTCCGGTGTGATTTGCTGATGGATAGTAGAACAACAGAAGTCCTTTAAAATATGTTTGTTGAGTGGGGATCAACCACACATGTATTTGATCGTATCTCAGGACAGTAGGAGAAGTTCTGGCGTGCTAGTGTAAGGATCAGGGGCTTTATTCATAAAGCTTCCTAGTAATGAGAGTAAGGAAAGGAAATTCTGAGAACAATGTTATGAGGTTTTCTAAGTATTTCTCCTTATACGAATACTAGATACTCATACAGATAAAAGTTTTTCACAAAGCCTTTTTAAAGAGAGCCCCGAGTCTGAAAAGGACTTTAAATTCTTAAGCCCCTTTTTCTTTTTCTTAAGATATCCAGAAAAGTACACAATTACTAAGCTTAAGGCGCGACCACACCCTTTCACCGCTTGTAACACAAATAGAAGAACTACTAAAAGTATCACAATGGTAAAAAATAACAAGCAATATGATACAGCAACTTAACAGAAAGTCATTATTTAGATTTCACTCTCCTTTTCGTTGGCCACTATAAGTTTCCTAATATAAATCACCCCTAAGCTCCGACTCCTTGCTAGAATTTTTGTGAATAATGTTCTTGGTTGAGATAAGGCAATAAGAGATGAGGTACTTTATTGATCCCAAATTGGGACATTTTTGCCAATTTTAATAGTGCTTATGAGAGGTAGAATAGCCGTTTATCGCTGTGTCTTTATGCTAAGCTAAGCTAATAAGATCAAACTCCTGGGAAAGAGCGAGACATAAAAGCGCCTAAAACATTTGAATATAGTTACTTTTTTCCTTACTTGTACTTATTTTCTTCTCCATAATACCCAAACCACAGTAAAACTCGACAAAGGGAATATTGCAACTACTTCTCTATATTCTCAATAATAATTGTTTTGCTTTTTTATTTTCTTCTGTCTCTCAGGCCATTGGAAATGCAAAGACCACCCGAAACGACAACAGCAGTCGCTTTGGGAAATACATCGAGATCGGCTTCGACACCCGCTTCCGTATCATCGGCGCCAACATGAGAACATATCTGCTGGAGAAATCACGAGTGGTGTTTCAGGTGAGCGCACACATGCACTGGAGTTTGCATCGACGCACACACGAGGTGTTTTGTTTGTATTGTTTAAGTGGAAATCTCATTGACTTGCACTCATTGCTTCACTCATCACAGTCGATTACCCCTGGCTAAGCCCATCTGATCCACAGACACGGTTACAATTTACTAATCTACAATTTCTCTACACTTCTACTATTACTTTTTAATCTTTCTTTTATGCCGTTACCACTTTTGTGCCGGTCATAAGTCAGGGTGGCATTGCCGTGTCCTTCATTAATCACCACCAGGTTCCTGATGGCACATGTTGTCCCTGCTGGAGGTCGTTGAATACACTCAGTACTTCAGCTGACCTTACACTCTGGCTTTCTGCATGATTTCAATCCAAAGAGAATTTTCTAAAAGTATGATCTGTGATTTCTTATTGCATTTGTCATGAATACTCTACTAGCTTGTTTAACATAGGATAAGATTAGATTAACCTTTATTAATCCCTGTAGGTACATTCAGGTTTCAAAGTTCAGGTAGGAATTCACACAATGATAGAAAGTAAACAATGTAAGTAACAGCATAAATAAAAATAACAACGTTAGGATTCCCTGACATTTAAGGTGTGTTTGCTAAATTATTCCTCAAAGCCTGTCAGCACTAATGTATTTACACAATGTACTATAGCCATTATGAAACACATTCAGGGGTGTGTATGCAGGCATTAAAATGATTGTACTGTATCCAGAACCTGTGAGTTATAGTTTTCTGCCTAGTTTGAACCATTGCTGCAGAAAGCCCATTTGGAATCTTAATAATGTGTATACAAACAACTGCTTCAAACATTACAATAAAAACAATTACATTATAGTCAAATGTGATGAGTATTATGCATATTATTGGTAGAGTTGTTTGGCACTCTACCCTTAAATTGAAACGTCACATTCAAAATACTAATTGTCTCTTGGATGTGAAATTGTAGATGACATATCACACACCTAAAGCACTGTTAAGTCACCATGACTCAGTGGTTAATTGGCTTCCAGTGGCTCACACATGATTTGGTTTACGTGCTGCACACACCATATGCACACATGCATGAGTTCACTGCAAGCTGTTTGCCTCATGGCATATGGTGAAGTATGGTACTCTATTAGCTGGACAACAAGCAGGCACCATGCGGGAAAATAAACATACATAACCCTGTTTCTTTGAAAAGCATCAAGGAGGTGTCTCACAATTCAGAAATATCCGACCTCTCACTTAAATGTAACCATGTATTGGTGCATACTGCACACAGTGACCTAGTAGCTAAGACAGCTACCATATGATTGCAACACACCTAGTTTTATTTTAGCCTCCTATTATTATCTCTACATGCAATGTCTCTGACTTTACTATCAACATCAAATGAAGGAAAAGCTACCCAAAAGTAATAACTTTAAAAAATCTGACATTTCGACTCTCTTTGAAATGGCATCCATTCTGACTGACTGGTGGGGAGTTTGATGTGTTGAACCTCTGTGTGAACAACCCTACACACCCTTGCTTATGTTGCCCATCATTTAACAATTATGCTGACCCCGGTCGAAAATGCTAAAATATACCGACATTTTAAAATAATTAACAACATAATTGCCATTTTATGCAGGAAGTGAATGTTGGCAATGAAAGGACTCTTTCTATGCTTGACATCTTCAAAATTATGAAGACATGCAGTCAAGAAGACACTCACACACACACACACACACACACACACACACACACACTCTCTCTCTCTCTCTCTCTCTCGCTCTCGCTCTCGCTCTCTCTCTCTCTCTCTCTCTCTCTCTCTCTCTCTCTCACACACACACACTCTGAGGCACTATGTTTCTGAGTATGAACCAACACTGTCTGTCAGTCCTGCCCTGGTGTCCTTTAGAGCAGAAGAAGTATGCAGTAAAACATTTGTTCTCTACAAAGACAGGCAGGAGGAAGAGGTAGAGCAAACAGAGACAATCCGTCCGTCACTGTGGGTTACAGCATGACACACCCCCCTAAAATGTCAAAGACATTCTTCCTCTAGATTTAATTTGTGTCATTTTCTTATCTAAATCCATCTTTAGATATCATTTTCTCTCTACAGCGTCCCCCCCCCCCCCCAAAGTCTCAGACAATATTAGGTGGTTTGTATCCAAGTTAGACAACGTTTACAAGCTTTTTTCTCTTGTATAACTTTATTGTGTCTTCACCGAGTTACTGGTGGAGCCAGTATGTCAGTGTCTAGATCAGATTTTTGTTCACACATACATACACACACACACACACACAGACACACACACACACACACAGACACACACACATTGTTGGGGAATGAGGATGTTGGCAGACGCCGTTATCCTTTTCCTCCTCACATTTCTCACCTGCTTGGCTCCAGTACCGCCCACTTATAGGTATGTGTATGTTGATATTCTATGTACAGTATGGGTGTAGTAGCACCAATATAGGACACAGGTGACAGGTTTGTTTACAACACACTACTGACATCCTAAACATTAATTGTTATGCATATATTTGCCAATGGTTTGATATATCAGGTAGAACTTCATCACGGGTACGGGTATAAACGCACAACCTGTTTTATTCTCATCTGACTCGATTATATCTGTTGATATGCCCTTTAGCAGGGCACTAAATCACCAGCTGCTCCAGTGAGGCTTCCAGATGTTCAACTGTATAATTGTACTGCACATAAGATAATACATTTTCTCAGACACACACATGATTTTCCCTGCATGTATTCTGGTTACAATAATGTGCAGATCAATATTCAAAATCCATGCGATAGATATATTTGAATTCACTGAGCATGCTACACTACATGTACCATTTCCCTCACGTTATCTTCATGCTTTCTTCCAGGCGGACGAGGAAAGGAATTACCATGTCTTTTATCAGCTCTGTGCATCCTCCCATCTGCCTGAATATGAGAAACTAAAGCTCAGTAAGTATCTACACACACACTCAGAGCTGCACAGTTGACAGTCATACCATATGCATGTTAAAGTGGGCTGGAAACATACTGTATATCATCTGCCTTACAGCTCTTACATTTGCTGTTCACAAGCAGTGAACTGATTGTGTCTATTCGCAGAGGCTCTCCACAGCAGGGGAAACACTAAACACCCATTATTGGCTCAGCCTGAAAAAGAATTACAATTTAATGTGCAGTAAATGAGAAACCGCTTCTAACTGCCGGCTCAGAATAGAATCGATAAAAAAACATTTCTCCCTTCCACATTAAACTCTTCATTAACCGCAGTGTAGTGTCCGCCAGATATCAGATTTGCTATCACTTTTAGACGTATGATACTCATTGACTCTGAAGTAGAACATGCTCTCATACAGAGCGCTCACACTGTGGACCTGCACCTGCTCATCCTAGTCAACACACACACACACACACACACACACACACACACACACACACACACACACACACACACACACACACACACACACACACACACACACACTGCTGGCACTGTCACTTAAAGCCACTCAGTTGGCATTCTCTCACTGTCGTACACACACACACACACACACACACATACACACACACACACACATACACACACACACACACACACACACACACACACACACACACAGCTGCTGTCTTTTCCTCTCCTGCTGACTTCCTGGCTCAGTTAATGGAGTGGTTGTCACAGTCGTGTCATTGCCTTTCGTTGCCAGGCAACATGCCATGCTTCAGTGTGTATAAATGAACTGATTGTTGGAAAGTTGAGCTAACATCTCTCTTACACAGAAGAGCTCTTGATTCAGCTTTTCTTTCCAAAGAAATCCTGAACCGTCTGTGAAACGTTGCACTGATGTCACTGTGAATGATTTTAACAGACAGCGCCCCCTAGTTAGTAAGAAACAGCATGTTATCTTATAGGGGGGCTTTCTAAATCTCGCAGAGCTAATGTTATAATTGCCGGATTTGGCACTCACCAAAATCACACTGGTGTGAGTTATTCCCTTCTAGTTTACCTAAAACAAAAGCACTTTACTCAGTGTCTATCAGGTTGAATATTAAATAAATTAACATGTTTGATTAAATTGTGTATATGATCATTTTCCAATCCAGATCTGCATGATGAAGGAACATGCTGTGATGTACCCATGTTGCACAAACTGCACATTTTCTTATTTATTCCCTCCCTCTCCACTCAGGCAATGCAATGGAATTCCAGTACACCAAGCAGGGCCGCAGCCCCGTTATCGAAGGCGTGGACGACACCAAGGAACTCTGCTCCACTCGCAATGCCTTCACTTTGCTCGGTAACTGACACCATCACACAAGAGTAAATACAGAGTAGAGTAGTGAGAAGTAGCATAACATACCACAAGTAGCATATTTTTCCAGAAAGATTATAGATTTGAACGAAGGTTAAGGATGGGCTTTGTTAAGTGGGGGTTGAAATTGCTAAATAAATGCAAAGAGTGAAAGTAACTCCTACAGTCTTACCACAGGGCTCAGTTGCATGATTTAGCAAATTGTCTGATGAGTAGAGAGGGCGTGGTAAATGGCATTAAGTTGGGATTTTCCACATCAGTAACGTATGCAGCAGCAGGTTCCTTGAGAGGTGGAAGTAGAGAGGACATGGGCTTGATCATGGTGAATCGAGGCTTATTTTTAAGTGGCAAAATCGATCTAGTAAACCTCAATTGACTGTTAAGACATCTGTACGGGTATCTGTATGCATGGTTTAGGAGAAAGGCATTGAAATATAACATAAAAATACAAATTCAGACTGAGATGAATATGATTGCAAAAGAGATGATAAGAGGAGAGAGAGAGAACGATTGGCTTCATGGAGTGTTGTTAGATGTAGGATGTAGGCGATGAGATAATAACCTGTGTGTGTGTGTGTGTGTGTGTGTGTGTGTGTGTGTGTGTGTGTGTGTGTGTGTGTGTGTGTGTGTGTGTGTGTGTGTGTGTGTGTGTGGTGTGTGTGTGTGTGTGGTGTGTGTGTGTGTGTGTGTGTGTGTGTGTGTGTGTGTGTGTGTGTGTGTGTGTGTGTGTGTGTGTGTGTGTGTGTGTGTGTGTGTGTGTGTGTGTGTGTGTGTGTGTGTGTGTGTGTGTGTGTGTGTGTGTGTGTGTGTGTGTGTGTGTGTGTGTGTGTGTGTGTGTGTGTGTGTGTGTGTGTGTGTGTGTGTGTGTGTGTGTGTGTGTGTGTGTGTTCCCTTGCAGGTATTAATGAGTCCTATCAGATGGGGCTGTTCCAGGTTTTGGCCGCTATTCTTCATCTGGGAAACGTGGAAATAAAGGACCGAGACTCAGACAGCAGCATCGTTCCAGTGAGGATAACATTTATATGCCAGTACTGGAAAACTGGAACACTTCTAAATGGGACAAGTAGAATAAGTACAATTACAGATATTTCAATTTGTATATCTAGTTTTAGGATACCCTGTATTATGCTTAATTTTCAGTGAATAGTACATCTTGACACGACTAATATCAGTCTTTGTACCAGATCCTTTTCTCCTTTCATGTTGTCTCCTAGTGATGATTTGAATCTCCTCCTTTCCTCTTTAGCCCAACAATCGCCACCTCTCAGCGTTTTGTGAGTTGGTGGGCGTGACCTACGAGGACATGTCTCAGTGGCTGTGCCACAGGAAGCTGAAGACGGCCACGGAGACGTATGTAAAGACCGTCCCCCGCCTGATGGCAACCAACGCCCGTGACGCGCTCGCCAAACACATCTACGCCAAACTCTTCAACTGGATTGTGGAGCATGTTAACAAAGCGCTGATCACCAACATCAAACAGCACTCCTTCATCGGAGTCCTGGACATCTACGGGTACGTCTGTCTGTGTGGAATATCCAGCCAATCTGATGTTACTCATTTTCTGTAATGTGTTAATAGACATCACAGTGTCCACCATGGCTAAATGCAGTAGAAGTTAGTTTCCCTGACTTTTCCTAACTTAAAAGTACCGTAAACAAAGGCAAGGGAAACGACATTCCCAGTTTTTTATTTGCTCATTTGACTGAGCAAGATTGTCTCTTTTATATGTTCTTCCACTCAAGGTTTGAGACGTTTGAGATCAACAGCTTTGAGCAGTTCTGTATCAACTACGCTAATGAGAAACTCCAGCAGCAGTTCAACATGGTGGGCAGCACACTATATTTACCCTTTTTTAGTTGTTATTGTTTGATGCAAGTACACAGTTGAATCCCCTCATGTGTGTGTGTGTGTGTGCAGCATGTGTTCAAGCTGGAGCAGGAGGAGTACATGAGGGAGCAGATCCCCTGGACTCTGATCGACTTCTACGATAATCAGCCCTGCATCAACCTCATAGAAGCTAAGATGGGCATCCTGGACCTGCTGGACGAGGAGTGCAAGGTACTACTTTATCTAAGCCAGTACATCATATTAGGGCTGTATCCGAATATTCGTTAGTTGGAGTACTATTGGAGTCAATATCGTTATTCGGATATTCGTTTTTAATTTTTTTATTTATTGAAATCTCCAATATCAACGTAAGAGCTTGTGCCTCTTCGGGGGGTGCTAACACTCCGTCTTTATATGTAGATATGACTTTTTCTCCATTAATCTCCGTCTCGTTGTTTCCATAGCAACAACAACTTCCTGTCAGCAGCGCTAACTCTCCTTCAAAATAAAAGCATGCCCATACAAAATAGAAAGCCAAGCCAAATTACACTTAAGACATATACAACTGCAACGAAAGTAACACTATCCTTTTCAATTTCAAAGAACACAAATTGGGTTACATTAACAAATAACTATAAAACAACAATACTGTAGAATAACAAAATGAATGCCGTGAATACACCGAAATACACGTGTTGAAACGGTTCACTGCTGATTACTACGCACCCCCCCGCGCGGAACGAATATTCGAATATTCACTGCTGATTACTACCGAATCTCCGGAGCCTGAAAAATAGTATTCGGGACAGCCCTACATCATATGTGGGGAAACAAGTAAGAGCAGTAAGAATGATTCAATAAGGGGGTTCAAGAGAACAAATGTACACACTGTTTGTTAGAGTCAAGCTTTTTTAAATGTAACATTTAATTGAGTTACCGTTACCATTGGATATATACAGGGAAAAAAGCGATTTTGAATTCCTCAAAAAGTTAACAAATGTCCAGTTGAACTCGAGGAAGAACTGAATTGGTGGTTAAGGACACAAAACACTTTTTTGGCCATAACATAATATGACAAATTCACACACATTTCTAGTCAAATATAGTGATACATCTCAGATAGCCATAGAAATAAACTACAACTTTGCTTCTTGGCAGAATAATACAACCACAAGGCAATCGTTTTTAATGTTTTGATTTAGGGGCAGGGAGAGTAAGATTATTTTCGTCTGCCCATGACTGATATTACTTTGATGCTTCTCACCATGATTGAAACACACTTTAGATGCAGAGAGATTTGTTTCCAGCACATGACAGACAGAGCAATGTGTTATTCCTATATCACCATTTTTTTTAGAAAATCATTATATCTCCTTAAAAGGTCTGTCCTAAAAAATGCATTTCATCCTGTTTGTTTTGTTTGCAAGACAGAAATATAAAGAGTAAATGGCTTGGTCCTACTGTAAGTCTTCTAATCGTTAGTCTGTCTTTCAACAAGAGTCTGCATTGGCACACAAAGACAAATATATACATTTACATAAGTCTTGCTCACCTATGAAAACTGCTGGTGGGAATAAAACATTCTCATCAATATAAAAAAGCAGGAGAATTAAAGTGAGTCCGAGCTGCATATTGAGCAGAGCATTGTGGGTGGTGGTTGAACTTCTCCCACGTTCTGCTTTACATTTTGTGACTGTCGAACTTCCAGTGCCTCCCACCACACTAGACCTGAACCTGAACACCTACAGAGTTCACCCGACTCTGAAACCCAGTATGAAACATTGACAACTTTATGGTAAACAAAATGAAACTAAACACGCTTTTTCAGTCGTAGTCAATTCACAGTTAGATGGGATGTTTTCATTGTGTTGTAATTGCTTTACACGACTATGGCTGACTCCCATTAGTAGACTAATAAGTTGACTAATTTGTTGTTCATGCCGTAGTCAGCTGAGTCTTTTTCTTGTTGATTTATCATTAGTAATTTGTAATACTTATTATGCTGAATGACTAATTTCCAATAAAAATATTCAGCACATCTCTGGTAGATGCACATTTTAAAGTGATACTTTTGCATGATTGCTTGTTGAGAAACTCACATTTGTATACATAGTCATTTGATTTTGTGCATTTTTAAATGGCTAAAATCCCAAAGCTCCCTCCATAGGTGCTGCAGCACAGACAGTACGAGTAATATAAAGCACTTTATGAACAATCAAGCATGTGAACATGTCACAGTAGAGGCACAAAATACAATTAAGAAACCTGAAAATGAGCATAATTGGGCCCCTTAAAGTTGAGAAAAGCCCCGAACACAACTTAAGCTAATGTTGGGCAAAGCTTTGGTTGAATGTATATGAAATGTCGAGATCAAATTTAGATTTGTGAGTTAATATTCAGGTGGAAACCTGTGTAGAGTTAAGGCAGTGCTTATATCAGCACCATCGACACACTTTCACAGCGGAGCAGGTTTACACACAATGCTGACTAATCTCTCTGTGGCTCTCAATGACTGCAAGGTCGTTTTACAAGCTGTTGACATTTGAGGTGGTCCACATTGCTAACATATTTGCAAGGTAATGCAAACACAGAATGGACAACTGCTTTGTCTTGTTGGTGAAAAAAGAATCAGAAAAATACACTCTTGTGGGATGATTTGTAATGTAATTACAATGCTTTAGATATGTTTAAATGTTCATAGTATTTCTGTATTTATAAGCAGATAGTTATACATATTTTCTTACCGTTTGTTTCCACTGTGTCTTCTCCCTTTCTCCACCAGATGCCCAAAGGTACAGATGATTCTTGGGCTCAGAAACTTTACAACACACACCTGAAGACCTGCTCCCTCTTTGAGAAGCCACGCATGTCCAACCGTGCCTTCATCATTGAACATTTTGCTGACAAGGTGGGCTGCACTGACCAGACCTCATAGTGTTAAATGTGGTTGAGCTACTGAAGGAAAGCTCAGCAGAAAACAGATCGGCTGCAGTGGCTGCTGCAGTGCTGGGGTTATTTTTAGCATTGCTCGAGGACAGATGACTTTTTGTTATTGTTGTCATTGTATTCACACTAAAAGCTTTACTGCAATGAAATGTTTAGAGTACATGTGGTTGACTGGTTTAATCCAGTGTAATAAAATAGGTTTCGTATCGTTTAAAGAGTGTATGACTCAGTGTGACTTTTTATATCCCCACTATAAGGTTACATGATTAACAGGGGAAGTCTAACGTAGGCTTTCCAGTGAAGTCCCCCCACATTAAAATAGGATTCTTGGAGATATTTCTGACCAGACATTTGCAAGGGTTGATGTTGTATTTAAAGACACGTGCAGTAAGAGTTAATATCTGCACATGAGCTAATGGGAAGGCTTTACTGTCACTGGTCAGATTAATAACCTGTTAAACCAAGAGATAGAAACGTTTACCTTTTTTATAAATTAACCCTAAAGATTAGGACTCTTTCTTTGGGTTAGATGACACCTAAAAAAAAAATGCAAGGGAGAGTAGCTAAACTGTCCTTTCTCATCAGAAATGAACAACATGGATAAATCCCACTCTCTGGTTTTATAACACACACTGCTCTTTTGTTGCCGAGCAGGTGGAGTACCAGTGTGACGCTTTTCTGGAGAAGAACAAGGACACGGTGAACCAAGATCAGGTCAATGTGCTGAAGGCCAGCAAGGTGAGGAGTAAAGGCACACTTCTATATTACATATATTCATAAAATCACTGTTAACATCTACATTTAAGGCCAGATCTTAACCAGATGTACGTGCAGAGAGCGTTTTGAACACTGTACAACTCGAATGCTATGAAGCGTCCACTGAGATCAAAGCCAAAGAGGCTTTGATCTCAGTGGACGCTAATGGATAGCTGGTGCACCTGGTGTGAGTGGGGGGAAATACAAAAACACTGTAATGTGTATTGAGCAGAAGTCCCATCTGCAGCCTCAAGAAAGCAGCGCCCCCCTCTGGCCATGTGGAAGTAGTTTTGACGTCAAAATGTATGACAATTGGTCGATCCGGGATATTTAAATTCAGAGAGGTTCAGGTTTTATATACAAATCATAGACCAAGCTGAACACACACAAACAATAAGATGCAGTAAGAAAATAACATTAATATATAAATGAATGTAAACAAAGAAAACTAGAAGGCCCCTCTGCCTAAATGTGAAAGACTTATTAAGCCAAATTAGCAGTATGACTTCCAAATCCATGCACATCAGTTGTATGTGTTCATGTGTAGACACAATATGGTCCTAAGCCTTTAAATCCTCATCGCTGTTTTATTACACACACACACACAGAGATTGAGCATTTTGGACAACACACACAACATCAAAGTGACTATCGACTGTTCTCTTATAGACTCTAACAAGAGCAGAATTGGGTAAGGGTTGAAATACAGTTTGCGCTAAACACTAACATCATCACTTAACACATACACACAGTGCACACATACACACACATTCTAATGGTGTGTAGTCCTAACGTTGGCAAGGAAATCAGTAAGATTTAAACAATCGGGATTAAACGGTAATGAGCTCTTAAAGAGATTTAGTCTAATTACCTTTTGTTTAACTTCCCTGCCAAGCGTATCCCGTTATTGTTGTTGTGTGTGTGTTGTGTGATTATGTGTGTGTGTAGCTGATGGTTTGCGTATACCACGAGGAGCACATACTGTATGTAAAATGTCTCCTCAACAGGGAGAACAATTGTAAACTCTATCTTATGTATTCATCTGTCCTTGTATAAACCCTTCCTCAACTGTCAGAAAAATAACTGAAAACATGTTTTGTAAAACATCAACATTAGCATGCAAAAAACAAAATGATGATTTTAAATATCCTCGCTATGAATCGGGTTTTTGGGATTACCCGTCGATGAAAAAAGAAATTCCTTAGTTCTCTATAAAGCTCCTGCTGTTGATAGCCATTCAGTTAAAGGAACATTCTGGTTTATAACAATTTTGTTTTATTTTTGTTTTCTTGGTTGTGATTTCTCTCAGTATTGATTAATTTGTACTAACAAGGGGTACAAAGCAAAGGTTTTAAACAGTTTAGCCCATGGGTGTCAAACTCAAGGCCCGGGGGCCAAATCCGGCCCGCGACTTCATTTTCTGCGGCCCTGCAAGAGCTCTGAAAGAATATCATTTTTATTATACGATTACATGCCGATTTACAGAAGCACGTTGCCCATAAACTACATGTCCCACAATGCATCTCTCATTTGACTTTTCCCTTAGAATTTGACTTTTTTTTTCAAAATGTTACTTTTTTTTCTTCAGAATTTGGCTTTTCCTTTAAAATCAATTTGACATTCTCACTGAAGAGACTTGCAATTATTTGCCCTAGACTTCTGCTTTCAGACGTAGTTAATTATGAAGTTATTACCCTATCCCATAATAATCCAATGCAGGGGCAATGATGTAATATAATACATTATTTTATATATATTAAACATTTATATATGTATTTTTATATAGTCTTAAAGTTACAACTGGCCCTTTGAGTGCAACCATAATGCTAATGTGGCCCGAGATGAAATTGAGTTTGACACCCCTGGCCAAATGATCGAAACCCAAAGTAAACACACCTGAAAATATTGCTTATAATCCTTCATTTCACAGTAAACCTAGCGTGTGCATCACTACAGTAAGTGATGTGATTATGATGAATCTGTACTCCCCGTGGGGAAGGTTGAATATGCGGTAAACAATTCGATTTGGCTCAAATGTAGATTTTCTTTAACCATTTGTTTGTAAAGCATTTCATTAAAACATTTTGAATCCGGAAACATATCAACAGTACAAAGGAAATTATTATTTTACTTCAATATTGAAGTAATTTGCTTGTATCAGTAGGCTTTTAGTGGTGGCCATGTATTAAAAAGCAGGTGCCTTGTTAAAACAATTCAGAGGCGCCCGACTAATTGCTGCGACAACAAATTAACCCTTTATATTTCATGTAAAGGTAAACCAGGCTAAAATTAGGCTAATTGGAGCTATTGTTAAAATCCTGCAATCGTCTTGCTACTCGTTTCTTGCCACAGTGGATTAAGTCCCAGATCTAAGTAGATGGCCAAAATCTATGAAAAAAACCCAGGTGCTATACAACAGGAACTTTCTTTAAGTCTACGCAGTTAAATACTCGTGTGTAATGGCTCCACTGTACCCGCATTGCTCACACTGTACTGGGACCTGCAGAACACTCAGTAGACTCTCCTTCCTGCTGACGTCTCCCTGCAAGTCTAATCAATACAGTGCATCGGAGAATTGCCTGATGAGATTTTCCATGACGCATTGCTATCCAGGAATGCGATCAGACAGATACAATTCCACCTTGTGACCGTTTCCCAACCACAGACATGCTTTATACGTCATGCACGTATCATGTTCCTCCCATCCATCTCAGCCTCATCATTAGTCTGCCTGGTTTTCCATCTTCTTTTCAGTTTTATATTGTGATGTGTTTTAAAGTTTTCAAAGGGGAAATACTGATTTTTTCCCTTCTTTTAATGTCATTGTGTCTCCATGTGTTGTCCATGTATGTTTGGTTCTGTCCTCATCATGACAACCCTTCCCTGCCAGCAGAAGGTAAACAGAGGCGTTCCTTCAACGCTGGTCCGCCTGTAGCTCTTCCTTTAGCTTCTTTTCCTTTTTCCCAGTTGTGTGTGTGTGCATTTGTTTGCTGCATGGGGAGCACCAAAGGCACTCTGGGAGGAGAAAAGGGGATTCAGATAGAGACAAAGGAAGGAGGGTATTTTTATGTTTTCACAGCGATGCCGAGAGCGTGCAGCACGTAAAGCCTTTGTTATCCCGCTTGATGACGCTGGCCAGAGAAGCAGCATGGCAGGAGGAGGACCTGAACATAACACAGCATCCTCCTCATATAACCTCACAGTTATATGGAACATGACTGATGTGTGTGTGCATCATACATGATACTTTTTATGTCATAATCTCATGGCAAGGTAACGCCTTGCACTCATATATGGCCACTGCATATCGTGATATATGAGAAAGCATAACCCTTAGATTTTTTTTATTGGCTTTTAAAAACATTATAACAACTCTTTGACTGTAAATAGGTTTAACAATTGCTAATCAACAAATCATCAATCTACTCACTTTAACTAAGATGAATTAAATGGATACTTCACCCACATTTATATCAATAACACTGCGTCTGGTGTTACCTTAAACTTTTTTCTCGCATTCCATGGTAAATAATGAATCCACAAACGGAGACATTTCTGAATAAATTGAAAAAAGGGGGACGCGTTTATCAACAATATAACTATTAAAAAATATAAATGTACAAATTCTCATACAACTCGTGCGGTACTTATCCTATCTAACCAAACACATCGCTTAACACCTACACTTGAGCACTCCTTGCATAGACAAGTAGGACACCTGCGTAACATGGACACTTTGTATCCAGATGTGTTTATAATAGTAAGGTTTTAGGTCAAGACTAGTTTCTTCACAAATCCATATAGCTGAGCGCGAGTAAATTATATGATCATTTTTGGGGTGAAGTTTTCCTTTAACTCATGTCAATCTTAAACCTGATAACTAAACTAGATTACGTGATTACTTTAGACATTTAAAAATGATCGTGGTTCTCAACACTCAAGTCAAAAATGTAAAGGCTTGTATGAAATGCTCAAATGAAAACTCTCATTGTGCTCGGTAAGGCCGTATGCAATAGGTAAGAGAAATCCATACGCATGCCAAGAAGATACTGTTGGGTACTACAACCATAGCTCTTAAATAAGCATTGTAGTTGCACTGAAGCTTAATCTAACATTACATCCAGAGCAGAATGCTGTGTGGTTAACCTTTATTTCAGTAAATCAATAACGCCTGCTGTCTAACGCTGCCATCAGCTGCTCTGTTTGTGACTGTGTGTGTGTGTGCTGCTGTTCCCAGTTCCCCCTGCTGGTGGAGTTGTTCCAGGACGGGGAGAAAGCCACCAGTCCCACGGGCCAGGGCCCCGGCACCGGAGGACGGACCCGCCTCAGCGTCAAACCTGTCAAGGGCCGCGAGAGCAGCAGCAAGGAGAACAAGAAGACCGTCGGCTGCCAGGTTCACATTCAATTCAATTGAAATGTATTTATATAGCCCAATATCACAAATCACATTAGTCTCAGAGGGCTTCACAAATCAACAAACACGAATGACAACAAACATATCTGAGAATATAGTAAAAAAGATAAATGTGAAAATACCAATGAATGGGTACAAAACACAATGACACAAATACACTTAGATACAATAATTAATATTCCATAAAATAAAGGGTCCATGCGGATGTTTAAAACCAGTCCTAACTGTACGCTGTAATAAAGAGGAAAGTCATATCTCCTCCAGTGTTTGAGTTTATTGGTTTGTCCTCTTACATGCGTGCATACAGTGGTGGAAATGAATGAATGTACTGTTCTTAAGGACTTGAGTATTTTAATTGCACAAATTGAGATCAGTTCCAGTGCGTGTTGGTAGATATCAGAGCACATTTCAAATATATTAGATGTCCTCTTTACCCACATGCCTACTTACTGTATGTACATTAATTATATTTAAAGTGAAAACACACATGGATTTGCTTCAATGATTTGACAGCCTAGTTAGAAAATACAAAAGTGTGATGATGATGATGATGATGGTGGTGATGTAGCTGATGTTGGTGATGATGATGATGATGATGATGCTCTCTTGTAGTTTCGTAACTCCCTGGCAATGCTGATGGAAACGTTGAACGCAACCACCCCGCACTACGTCCGCTGCATCAAACCCAACGACTTCAAGTTGGCCTTCACGTGAGTCTTCCTCTTTCCTGTTAATATTCGGTTGTTGTTTATATTCAGGTGTAGTTCTTGGTGGTGTAATTGACTGTGGTTGTCTGTTGTTGGCAGGTTTGATCCTAAGCGTGCGGTGCAGCAGCTCAGAGCCTGCGGAGTCCTGGAAACCATCAGGATCTCTGCGGCAGGGTTCCCCTCCAGGTGCTGATGCATCCACTTCTACTGTTTCCCTTAGACTCTTTGATATATTGAATTTCACAGAGGCATACACCATTGTTATATCAATAACTTTTGGAATATAATAGAAAGAAAGTATTGAGTTGTGATTATTAGTCGGGGAGAGTTACTTTTATATTTCAGAATGCATTTCACAGCTTTACACCGTACTGTATGCATGTATTGCAATCTTATTGTGTGTGTGTGTGTGTGTGTGTGTGTGTGTGTGTGTGTGTGTGTGTGTGTGTGTGTGTGTGTGTGTGTGTGTGTGTGTGTGTGTGTGTGTGTGTGTGTGTGTGTGTGTGTGTGTGTGTGTGTGTGTGTGTGTGTGTGTGTGTGTGTGTGTGTGTGTGTGTGTGTGTGTGTGTGTGTGTGTGTGTGTGTGTGGTGTGTGTGTGTGTGTGTGTGTGTGTGTGTGTGTGTGTGTGTGTGTGTGTGTGTGTGTGTGTGTGTGTGTGTGTGTGTGTGTGTGTGTGTGTGTGTGTGTGTGTGTGTCAGATGGACGTACCAGGAGTTCTTCAGCCGTTACAGAGTGCTGATGAAGCAGAAAGACGTGTTACCTGACAAGAGGTTGACCTGCAGAAATGTTCTGGAGAAACTGGTGGAGGTCAGACCATCTGCATTTCTACCTTTTACTTGTTTAGTAAAAAGGAAGCATCTGGATTAGTAGTTTTCCGAGGCATATAAATCTTGAATATGTTTCAAGTCCTTTGTTTTGCCTCTTCTATGCAAAAACAGTCTGTCCCATTTAGTGAATCTGACCCTGTCTTTCTCCTGACCTGTTCCTCCAGGACCAGGATAAATATCAGTTTGGTAAGACCAAGATCTTCTTCAGGGCCGGCCAGGTGGCCTACCTGGAGAAGTTGAGGGCAGATAAGTTGCGTGTTGCCTGCATCCGCATCCAGAAAACCATCCGCTGCTGGCTGGAGCGCAAGAGGTATCTGCGCAAACGCAGCGCCGCCATCACCGTCCAGAGGTTCACCAGAGGATACCAGGCCCGCCGGTGAGTGCCCCCTGCAGACATTCAAACAGAACTATCATATGCACAGATCGTGTGTTTGTTTTATAACAACACATGATCGTTGGGTTCGTTAAGCATGACACACTTGATATAACTAAAGGATAAGTTAAAAAAGAAAGTAGAAAGAAAGTGAGGTCATAGAAAACTATTTCTGCTAAAAAAGTTAGCAATGATTGAATCAGACCGAAACATTTCAGCTGTGTGTATCTCACACTGCACTGTGACCTTTATTCATGTGCCTTTTGTTATTCATGTTTTATTATCTTTGCTTTTAAATGCCATTTTATAATGTGTTTCTTAATGCTCTTAATGTCCTTCATTGTTGTAAAGCACTTACTTGAATTGCCTTGTGTTGAAAGGTGCTATATAAATAAACTTGCCTTGCCTTATAAAACAATGGTAAACGTTTTTGGAAATATTAGGGCAGTTAAATAAGGTTGAAATACTGTTGTAGTAATAATAATGGGTTTCATTTATAAAGCACTTCATATTTGATTTCAAATCCCAAAGTGCTACAAGCAGTGAGCATGAACAGTATAAATAAACATCCTTAAGTACCTTAAGTTTAAATGTTGAAATACATGTTGACGTGTTTATCTCTCGTCTCCTCAGCCTCGTCAAGTTCATGCGTCGCACGCAGGCAGCCACCACCATCCAGAAGTACCACAGGATGGTTGTGGAGAGGACACGCTACCGGCAGAAGCAGGCTGCTGCTCTCGTCGTGCAGACCCTCCTCCGAGCGTACATGGCCCGGCAGATGTACCAATCGGTAAGACACACTCCACAACATTCTGAAAAACATGTTTAACATATTAAGTCATGGGGAGAAGTCAATAAAACCTTTGTGATGCTTATGGTGCAGTTTACCCCCAATCTGTCTTTAACAGAGCGAAACACACCTAACATGAGCAGGAATATTACAAATAAGAAATCTTTAGCTTATAGGAAAATCTGAATATATTGGAAATATATCAATGTGCTCTTATCCTCCCTCTGCTTCTCCTTAACTTTTCCTGTGTGTCTGTAGTTGCTGCGGGAGCAAAAGGTGGTGATCATCCAGAAGCGAGTGCGCGGCTGGTTGGCTCGCTGCTGGTACAAGCGCTGCCTGGAGTCCATCGTCTACCTGCAGTGCTGTTTCCGCAGGATGAAGGCCCGGCGCCAGCTGAAGAAGCTGAAGATCGAGGCTCGCTCAGTGGAGCACTTCAAGAAGCTCAACAAGGGCATGGAGAACAAGATCATGCAGCTGCAGAGGAAAATCGACGAGCAGGTGAGATGAAGTTTTTGTGTTTGAGGCCTTGTATTGATACATTTTTCCTCTTTTATGTGTTTCACTTTTCTGTTTTGTGATCTGTCTTCGGCCTCAAGAAAGAGAACCATAAGGTGGTCAAAGACAGGCTGGTGGGTATGGAGACTTCCTACACAGCAGAGAGCGAGAAGCTGCGTGCAGAGGTGAGCCGACTGCGCGGGGTGGAGGAAGACGCCAAAAGCAAAGGCATCCGGCTGAACTCGCTGCAGGAGGAGCTGGAGAAGCTGAAGAAGGAGCTGACTACCACTCGGAAAGAGAAGAAGACCATAGAGGACTGGGCCAAAACCTACAGGGGGGAGATGGAGAAGGTAAGAGCTGATCCATCTGTCGAGTCACCTGTAGATGTCCTGGTCCTCCACTTCCCTCTGCAGTGTAGTGGTACATGTTTTCCGTACAATAGCAGATTTCCATATCCAGAACTAATTTTAGATTTAGATTTTCCCCAAAAATGTGTTTATTAACTCTACTTAAAGGCATAGTTCACATTTATTAAGATCAAACTATCCTCTTGTTTCTCTCCTAAGATATAGCTGTCCTTTTTATAGTTTAAAACTAAGTTCAATAGACATTTCTCCCAACAAGAACAATTTCCCATAGTTTCTTGGAATCTTTTACATAAATATGCATATTTGCACAAGAGGGAAAAAATTGTTTCCCCAATTTAGGAGGCAAAGCGAACCAGGGGGAAATGGGCACATGGTGGGCCAAGTTGCTCTGGGGAAGGTGAGCACTGGAGATAGAGTAGAGTAGTGTCAATGCACTGTGTGTGTGTCTGTGTGAGTACTGTGTAGTATTTATTTGCATCACTTTTGAGAGTTGCTGTTGGAGTGTTAGATTACAGATCTGCTAAATAAATGGACATTTACTTCTTGGATTATAGAGATATGTTTATGTTCAAGATGATGACATTCACCTTGATCTATAGATTTGATTAAGGGTTGTTGGTTTCTCTCCGTGCGTGTGTGTAGATGGTCTCGGAGCTGAAGAAGCAGAACGGCACCCTGACGAAGGACAACAACGACCTGAACCGGATGATTCAGGAACAGAGTCAGCAGATGACGGGTTTGTAAACATCCCCACATGAATCCTCCATCCAGTCATCCAGAGACATATAGTTGTCTCTTAAACCATACAGCATGCTTATTCTTTTGTATCTGCTTCTCCTTAATGTTTTCTCCCTCAGACAAAATGGCTCACGCGATCGTACAGGAGACCCAGCAGCTCGAGACCGATCTGAACGAGGAGCGGTCTCGTTACCAGAATCTACTGAGGGAGCACCTGCTTATGGAGGAGAAATACGACGACCTGAAGGAGGCGATGGCTTCCTCGGTGAGAGACACACAGTCCATATAACGAGACACCTTTATGACATTTTTTCACACAACTTCGTAAAAAGCTAAAAACACTGACAACAATATTTTTTTGATCCATTGATGAATATTTTTCTACATTAGATTTGCATTAGAACAGCAGAACATAACATTGGTAATATTCTGCACTTAGACCAACTGTCTGAAGTCATATCACATTAAATCCCTATTCTATTTCCCATTCTTATTATCTCTTGTTCAAAATGTGATGTTTTCTAAATTAGAAAGCTTGTTTTTTGTCTAATCTGCAGAACGCCTCCAAGCCTGGTCACAGGAGAAAAGATTCCACGCACAGCAGCAACGAATCAGAGTACACATACAACTCGGAGTACGCCGAATTGGAGGAAGGTTCCCGTGCTGCGGAAGTAAGACTGTTTGTTTTTAGTTTGGTTGTATTTTATAAGAGGAAACACCTGGTTCCCACTGGTACTTGCTGCTGATAAAAGTGGCTTTTCTTTCAGTGATATCCCTTTAAATACTTTTCATTGTGCCCATGCTCTGTCCTAACATGTCTGTGTGTGCAGGATGTGACTCGGGGAATCGACACGTCGCTGACCCTGAAGCTGCAGAAGCGCCTCACCGAGCTCGAGCAAGAGAAGCAGTCTCTGCGCAACGAGCTCGAAAACAAAGAGGACCAGTTCCAGCGGGCTAGAGCCAGGGTACAGACCCCCCCCCATGGCTCTAAATATATCATATAAGCATATCAAATCAACACCTAGAGTTAAAAGTCTCATTCTAGCGTGCTAATCCATGTTGAAGGATTTCTGACACTATTAGTTGCATGGGTCCTGATGAATACAAATAGACATATCTACAGTAAGCATGTCATGAATAGGAAGTACAAAAAGTGTTCTCTTTTACATAATTTTAACATGACTGTTTAGCTCTGTGTCACCGTGTCATCTGCATGTAAACCTCATTTGTTTAAAGATCTGATCCAATTTTTTATTTGATACATGTTAGTTAGTCTGTTTTCTCTGTGCAGCTCTAACACCACCACTTAACATCACTTAATTCATTAGTTCATTCATTATTTAGATGAAGATATAAACATTCTTCATTCAGGCCGTTTTTTAATTGGCCCTGCGTTAAATGAAGCTGAATTAGGTATTACAAACTTTGTCACTGTACGAAAGCCCTCTTCATCGCCATGTTTTGCTCCTTGTTTCAGGATGACGTTGAGTTTAAAAAGGCTCGCGGAGCAGAGCTGGAGTACGAGTCACTGAAGGTAAGCTACCAGAGGAGAAGAGAGTGGAAACATTAGCACCTTTTCGCTCACCGACCGAAAGCCAGACATGTACTTATTAGAGTAATTCCTGCCTTAGCTTCAGAAAGCCTCATTTGTCACTTGTTACTGTGACCCACCGACACTGAATCTTTTCACTCCTCAGCGCCAGGAGCTGGATTCGGAGAACAAGAAGCTGAAACATGACCTGGTGGAGATTAGGCAAAGCCTGCTGGGTAAAGCTGGTCCAGGCGCCGGGGCCCCAGGCTCCCCAGCCTACAAGGTGGTGTTGGAGCAGCTGAACTCCTCCTGTGAAGAGCTGGAGGTCCGTAAGGAGGAGGTGCTGATCCTGCGCTCACAGCTGGTCAGCCAGAAGGAGGCCATGCACCACAAGGTAGAGCAACGTGTGACCGTGACTGTTTTCAGGGTGCAAATACAGGAAGTACATCCATATCACGACTGAGGTGGAAAAGACCCAAGGATACTGAAAAGCAGAGTATATGGCCACTTTAGATTAAACATATGGCATCTTTACGTGGTGCTGTTGTCTTTCACAAAGTGAAGCTAAATTAAGGAGGATGGCACCCTGCTTGCTCGCATCCACCACCTCACATGTGCATGTTGTGTTTTCACCTATGTCTGCTTCTGTTTGTTAGCACAAGATAAAAAAAAAGAGATCACTACAATTACATTTGGCGAGTGATCCTAATCTCAGATTTTGAAGTAATGTGTTATAAATACTTTTCTCATGTTCATGTATTAAAAAAAAAGCATGAAATCTGAGACTTCCTTTCTAGCTTTTAAAGCAAAAAATGGCGAATGATTAATAGAGTATACATTATTTGACATTTGAACAAAATGTAGAGGGTCAAACAAAAAATGAAATCACGTCGATGTTCTCACTGTAAGTAGTTTTTCTGTTTCACTGCACCGTCTTTTTGTCTAACTCCTGTCTCAACCTTCTCTCCTCCATCCACGCTCCCCCACAGGATGAGAAGGTACAGTTAAAAAAACTGCCTCCTGCATGACTGTTTAGCTCTGTGTCACTGTGTCACTGTGTCTTGCATGTAAACATCATTTGTTTAAAGATCTGATCCAACTTTTAATTTGATGTTAGTTAGTCTGTTTTCTCTGTGCAGCTCTAACACCACCACTGCTAGGAGAAATTATAAGTAATTCAAAATATACACTTAAATACTTTAAACAACTATTCTCCTGGTGGTTGTTCAATAGTAGGGATTCCCTTTTTCACTTGCTGCTGCTCAAAAGTATCTCAACAGCGCTAATGAAGTCAGTGTGGCATAATGTGGCACGAAAGCCGAATAATTAATAAAAGGATTATGAAGTATTTTTCTGTCAACAGATTGCTGTAATATAAACACACAAAGGCAAAAGCCAAAATGTACGCCAGGCTTTCACAAAAAGTGCTTTTTTAATATGACGTTTTTAGTGTTTCTCAATGAGTTCTCATACAGCAAGTTTAAGATTTAAAAAAATATGTTGTGTGTTTCATAATTACATGGTTTTCTTATAATCTGTTAATTATATTTTTTAAGAAACTAGGCAATTTCCAAAAATGTATGCTACACATTTCTTTAAAACTGTGATTGTTCAAAAAATGCTTGACACACATTACACTTTGTGTAGGATTAACTGTCCATCATACGCCATATAGGTTCTAATATAAAAAAAAACATTTAAAAAATATGTCTTGGGAATTTGTGAATTCCACATTTATTCTCAGAAGACGAGAATCACATTTTGTACATGAATCCGTTTTATTCCCACCTCGTACAGCTACACAGATATAGATATTCGTGTCCCCAGTGTCAGAGTCTTTGATGCTAACAAATGATCCTTGTCTTTACATCAAACTGTCACACGGCGATCACATGAACCCCACCCAGACATTATGATCATGAGTGACCTTAAACCCCCCCTCATGTCTGTTGAAAGCTAGTAGAAGTCGCCCCGCTGTGAAGCTCCCTGCAGATAGGCGGCTGTCACTGAGGCGTCACTTGATTTCTTGTCAGTATTTCATCTGGAGGCTGATGATTGTCAGAGTAAAAGGACAGTGGTAGCCGGCAGCCGTAGTGCAGCTGGCAGGGAGTCAGCAGCACACATGCTGACAGCCCTCAGCACTGTGAACTAATCATGACTCCATTATCTTTATTCATACACCTATCTGAATGACACTGGTTCATGATGCACCTTTGCCAGAGGTTGTTTGAGCCTGGTTACTGTTTTAAATGTGGTGTTCCCTTTTCTAATGTATCCCCTTTATTTATCTTTGTGTAGGAAACCATGACCGAGCCTTCAGTCTATGCGGAGGATGTTTCCAAGCTGAAGGACTCTGATGAAATCAAGCAAGCCTACGTAGGACTTAAAGACACCAACAGGTACTTTGATACAGACAGTACTCCTCCTAATCTCCAGATCCATACATTCATAATGAGGTGTATTTCCATCCATATCTTTTTCCAGTTTGAACATAAAAAACAAAGTGGAAACGCAGAAAAAACATTTTTTTCACAGACATAACATAAATAGGACGTACATGGAGATGCTTACATAACGGCACCTGTTGTACATCAAGGTTAATCATTCATGCCCTCTTTGGACACCAGAAGGACATACAATTTCTTGATGCTATCGATTTTCATATTGTGCAATCATTATCAACATATTACAGACATTATCACTCCCCCTCATCAACAAAAGGATCGCACAATACCTCAACCATTATGATACTAAGAACCAGTGCTTTGGCAAAAAGTTGTTTTTAATGTGTTTTTTCGGGCAGAAGAAGTTGGTGTATTGCTAAAAGCAAACTATGACAAAGTGTCTCGTAAAAAGAGTAAGCGAATAAATATTGACATATACGAAGCATTCGACTGAAACCTCGATGTAGCTTCTGCTCTGCTGAAGAGACGGATCATCACGATAGATTAGCACAACGCTCCACTTAACATTTGATGTAACCTTCATCACATTAATACACAAAACAAACAGAAAGGTAATTTTTCAATCAGGTATTCTACATACTTTTTCTACTGCCGCTTTTTTAATTAAAAAAAAAAGTCTTCCCACTGGAAAATTGGCGCCATCTGCTAATTATCTTAAGAAACCAACTACTAAGAGTCACGATGAGGTAGTGGAACGAAACAAGAATTTATTCACATACATTTGGAAATGTTCTCGACCTTTTGTGAACATTTGCAACCAGGGCCGGCCCTAGACTTTTGGGGGCCCTAAGCGAGCTTTGGCTTGGGGACCCCCCTCACTCTAGCGCGTTGTCACTACACACAACACGGAACCAACTTTTGTCTTATGATGTTAGCATAAGCACACATATTGTATGTATAAGCATGTAAATACTGTGGACCTAACCTCCTCTAGGGGGGTCCTCACCTGTGTTTTAAAATATTGAAGTTAAAAGCATCAATCTGGTGCACTTTGAGAGCAAAATTTAAGAGATCTATGGATACATCTCTCAACACCCATATGAAACAGAACTGTAAACAGATTTTTCTTTATGGATATTTTACAAATCACTTAAACTGTATTCTTGTTTTGTCATATAGTATTTCATAACTGTTTTTCATTTATTCTCTCTGGCTGTCCATCTCATAATGTTCACATAGAAACTAGCTGTCAATAGGAATATCATTCAGAAGAATTATAATTTCTTGCAAAAATCTGTCACAAAAAGAGTTTGCACATTTAAATTCAGGTGTTGTTATGGCAACGTCAGTGGCCAAACAGCCACATTTACTGCTGCAAATACGTTCAAACATGCTGTTGACACGTAAAGCAGTGGCAACTATGCCACCATTTCAGCTGACTTTTTCTCAGAAATACTGTCATATAACATCCATATATTTCAGTGCTAGGTTGATGCTTAGCTAAGCTAACTATGAAACACAGACTCAGGATCAACTGTGAGGTAGCTTCTAGCTTCATGTCGACCAGTAAGTCAACATTTCCCAGAGAGCTTTCTTTGAAATCACCAGGTAACGCTAAAAAACATAACATTTAAATTGTATGACTAAGTGTTTATTTAATATATCTGGCTAGCTATAGCTTTGCTAACGGTTTAGCTTACCCCCGCGATTCAAAGTAACGTCAACGTAAGAAATGTATGTAAACTGACATTTACATACCTTGTTTACCTGGCTCAAGTGGTGGCTCTGGGGTTGTTGTGTGAGCCACCACTTGAGAATTGTTGTCGTCTTTTTTAAGAAAATGTTTTCTTATGTCCATCTTCAAAAACTCTGAATCCGACTGACAGTTTATTTTAAACATTGTCACAGCTCACAGGATAGGTACCTGTCAGCCAATAAGACAGATGTTTATTTCCATTCAACTCTCTGGTTGGTCTGGTGTCTTGCCTCTGTTGCATTCACTGAACACAGGAAATTACAATCCTGCCGTCCTCTCTTGTGTCATGATGAGGTTCAGGTAAAGCACGGTTAATGTATTATATTATTGACTCAATAATATAATACATGACTTTGAGAGTAGGCAATCTAGGCATATTAACACAATTAATTAAACATACTTACAGTATCACGGCGACGGTGTACTGAGATTTCTTTTTTGTAATTACATTTTTCTTTTTTGCTAGGGGGCCCCTTAGTGGCTGCGGGGCCCTAAGCGGCCGCTTATGTCGCTTAATGGGTCGGGCCGGCTCTGTTTGCAACCCATTGTAATGCCTATAGTTGCACAAAAGCATGGCAGGTGGAGGTGACATGTTTGTATAGTGACACAAGTACCATGAAAGATAATAAATGGCAAACAAAATGTAATTTATTTAATGGAAGTGTGAATTCACTTCACTCAAATCCCATCATATATTTTTGATCCAAATGTTGTGTCTGTTATTACCATGATATATACATTAAATAAATGTGTGTGTTTGTGAACACTGCCTTGTCCTGTGCAGATCTCCTAGGTTCATGCGTAAGCCGTTGGAAGTCAGTGATCTCCTGAGTAGGCTGAGGTAAAAAGAAAAAGCAGACGTGGCCTATGCATCATGGGACAGAGCATGCATGGTCACGCTGATGCAAAACCAGAGTGAAAAAGATCTGTTTTACTGAGGCTGAAACAGCTGACTCTACGTCTTCGTGCTGATGAAAGCTTGGGTAGCTGTTTCTGCGCTAACAGCATGATGAATAACGAAGCCGCTCTAGCTACAGTTCAGGTCGGACTTATGCTCTAACAGACAGTTATTATTAAACAAATGTTCTTTGAAGTCATATTTTAAGATTCTTCGTTTTGCATGGGATCTCCTAGTTAAGCATGAGTCTCTCAAACTGAAGAGAGAATCAGTTTTCCTCAAGACAAAGATATGAAGATGTGTTCAGGGGCTTCTAGTCTGTTTTCGGAGATGCTGCAGAACACCATGTTTAAATGCAGTATTTTCTAAATGTGCAGCATGACAGCATGGAAAGGTCTGAGCTTCAAAGGGTTCCATGTAGTCTTCAGTTGTCGTTTAACCTTTACTAACACATAGATTTCAACCTGACTTCCTCACTCACTGACTTTCAGGCAGTGTTGGGTTGGATGCTGTTGTAGCAGGCCTCCTGTCTCAGCTTTATGGAATGAGTTTGGCATAAATCCTGCATGAAAGCCCACTTTTCTCTTTGTTTGTCCAAGCAGAGATGCACAGCACACCTTAAAGGAATTTCATTTGAAATGTTTCTGCAAGGAATCATCATGTATTTGTTTTTAAATGCATGTCATCTCATTGGTCTTGAAAAGATGCACATTGTAAGATGGCAAAGTAAACACATATTTGACATTGTACACACACAATAGCTAGCTAACAGCAGACATATTCTCTGTTTTTAGGCAGTCTTTACAATACTGTGCATCACTGGCTTAATCTCTCTCTTTTTTACATGTTACTCACTTTGCTTGTGAAATTATGTGTTCAAAACAGACATTAGTAGAAATTACTGCATTTAAAAAATAACCTGAATCCACGGTTATCAGAATATCTATTTTGTTAGATTTTATTCAAATTACAGATTTATTTATATCACAGTCTGAACAAGTTGTATGCATATTTTTCTCTACAGTCACATTCAGTACACCTTAAACTCCAGATAATATGACTTCAAATTGGACAGTGTTGCACACATGCAGACACTTCAGATAAAAAGCAGACATTTTATTCTTGTTTTGCACACTTCTCCCCAACCATCCCGCTTCTGTCTTGTTGTCATTGTGTTGTTCATGTTCCTTTGTGTTGTGTCGGTCAGATCTGCCGCTCCAGACCTCCACAAGCTGAATGAGGACGGAGAGCTGTGGCTGGTTAATCAGGGCTTAAAGGAAACCATCAGGTGTTTTTATTTGAGCATGAAGCATTTGCCTTCTCACAGGAAAGGATGTGCGCTGCTGTTGTTTCTTCATTCATGTACTTCTTCTTTCTTTCGCTGTATTCAGAGTTTTCTCTCACAACTTTCAATGTTGTCCAACTTAACAGTTTTACGACGTATGCTGAGACTGCCTGTGTTTTGGTTTGATGTGACTAATGCCCCGGCCACACGAGGACGAAAACGGTCGTTTGCGTTACTGTTTAGTGTCATATAGACCATTCGGCCACACGAGGACGACCGAATACGGCACTAAACGACTGCGTAAACGATAACGGGTCCCAAGGTGGATAGAACGGCATACGCAACGCTCTGGGGGGTCCAACGGCTCCGTGTGTACGCCCTATACGATCATTTTCTGATAATGATGAGGCAATAGCCCCGCCTCTCCCCACCTCTGCTGCTCACCCCCGCGTCAAAGTAAACTGCACACTGAATTCAGATTATTTATCTTTCTCTCGATATGGACCTAAACGCGAGTGAAGTCTAATCTGACAGGACGGAGACACGCAGCTCTGCTCTCCTGCAGCTCCTCCCGCTATGATGCGGCGGTGAACGGAGTAAAACACACACTTCAAGTCCGATCATCACCCTTAGCTATTTTAATTACCTCTCAAACCCCTGGAACCCCTTGGAAGAAGCTGACATGAAACTCCTGTCACTGAAGACAGTGCTGTTACTGGCTCTGGCATCTGCCAAGCGAGTCAGTGACATTCATGCGCTCTCTGTACATCCTTCATGCACTCAGTTTGCCCCGGGGCAAACGAGAGTGTTGCTGAAGCCCAACCCTGCCTTTATACCTAAGGTGGTTGGCTCATGTACCCCCATTGACATTGTGGCATTTCCTCCGCCGCTGTGTTCCTCTGAGGAACAGCGGCCGAATTTGCAGTGTCCAGTCCGTGCTTTACGCACCTATATGGACAGGTCAAAAGAGTTTCGTTGTAATGACCAACTCTTTATATCCTGGGCTAACCCTCAGAAGGGCAAGCCCGTTACCAGGCAACGGCTCTCCCACTGGATTGTGGAAGCGATTGCTCTGGCTTATACGAGTCAGGGTTTGCAGGCACCAACGGGCCTGCGTGCTCCTTCTACTTGTGGACTGCATCCTGGGCTTTGTTCAAGGGTGTTTCCATCCAAGACATTTGTGCAGCAGCGAGCTGGTCTTCGCCGCTCACTTTTGTCCGCTTTTACAGGCTAGATGTCTCTGCTCCAAGTGTGGCCCGCGCAGTGCTGGGTCCCGTGTTGGGACAGAGTTCTACCTGTTAAGTTCTGGTTGTTTTGGTGATTTTCGAGATAAGCATGTCTCGCAATACGGGAGTTTCAATATCCCATAGTGAGACATCGAACGGAGTGTTATGAATGAGAACTATAGGTTACTTACGTAACCCCAGTTCTCAGAGTAACATGAAGTGAGATGTCTCACCAGACGGCCCTTCTTGCTAAGGCGAAGCGAGAAGAGGTGCTTATTTTGAATGACGCTGCGTCGTAGCGCAAGCTACTTAAAGGGTGGGTGGATTCCCTGACGTTGACGTCAAGATCACCAGCCAATCAGGATTGGCGTAATGAGATTGATGCTTCTGTTTGCATACGCGTTGAGGCGCATCCCACTTCATGTTACTCTGTGAACTGGGGTTACGTAAGTAACCTATAGTTTTGTGATTCGCATTGAAGATGACGTCACAGCAGTTTTACGCAGCGTCGCTCCGCCAGCCGAACAGCCGATCGCCCCGCCTACACTTCGTTACTATAGTTACTACCCCAGTTCCTAAACTGTAATGGAAATGCAGCATAAAGTGAGCCTGACCTAACAAGGTCTAACTCTCTTCCCCACACAGTTCTTTACATGGTTGTTTTATCCATAGAAAACTCCCCATAGAAGCTGCATTATGTAAAGCAATTTATAAAAAAATTGAATTGTTTTTCCCATTTGTTTATAACAAAGTGCATCAGACATTGCCTCCATCCTTCCACTAACCTTGTTTTACTCATTATGACTGCCTGTTAAATTGTACAGTATCATGTTACTCAATATTTACTGCAAAGATCCTAGAGAGGGAGTAGATCAGTTGTGTTTTATCACTAACATCTTACTAACTAATGCACAAGAACTCAAAACAAGGCGGGAAACCCTCCTTATTCCTGACATTAAAAACACACCCTAATAATTGTTTGGGTATAATATTTGACTTTATTCTGATCACTGAAGGCCTGTCTAGCTCCTCTTTCCAATGTTACTCTTAACACAACCTTAGAGTATTTCAAACAGGACAATTAATCATTTAAATTTGAAGGGTCCATGAACAGTTTGGAAGGAGGCCCCAACTTCAGCTGGAGCAATCAACGTTTAACTGTTTTTTTTTTTTTTTTTTACTTTCAAGAAAGTGAAACAAACGATCCATGTACGACATTCATAAAGTTAAAAAAGCAGCAAACAACTGTTTTCGTTGTAAAGATGCAGTGGATTAATGTGTTCTCTAAGAAGTAAATGAATATTTGTGTTTACTCAAATCGAATCGGAATCGGGAATCATCTTTAATGAGGCAGCATATTTAAGAAAACGTGTTCAGAGAGCTGGGCTGCTGGTAATGTCTGCGCAGCATGCTCCTGCGTCACCATGCTGCGGTGAAATCCTCTCTCACTGTCATATGAAGTTTCATTCACACAATAACGCTGATTTGTTTTCCCCTTTTCTCCCATGTGTGCCCTCTCACACTCTTTCGTCTATCCCACTCCATCTTCCTCCTCACTTTTCTCTTCCCTCATCCCTACCCTCCTTCCTTCACCCCCCCTCAGGTTACTGGAGCACCAGCTGCAGACTCAGCGGCGAGGCTACGATAACGAGGTGGAGTCGTTGCATGGCGAGCTGCAGAACGTGAAGGAGGAGAACAACCGCCAGCAGCAGCTCTTAGCCCAGAACCTGCAGCTGCCTCCAGAGGCCCGCATCGAGGCCAGCCTGCAGCACGAGATCACCCGCCTCACCAACGAGAACCTGGTACGCTGAACACACACACACACACACACACACACACACACACGCAGAGGAACAGCGGTAACTCTATCCCAGGGGTGTCCAAACTACGTCCCAGGGGCCCAAATGCGGCCCGCGGACCATTTTGAATCGGCCCTCACTCAGCAAATAAAAAAAGTATAATGACTTAAGTATAATAAACTTCTGCTTGTCTTACTTCTTAAATATGTTCAAATGTACATAACAACCTTGAAATATACCCTTCATATTTCCTCTTATGATAAGCAATCTGAAGCTTCTGTTTTAAGGAATGACATTTCTTTAAGCATTTTCAAGTATCAAGAATAATTTACCTACATTGGATTGACTTTTCCAACTTCCAACTTAACTTACGAGGCAATAAACCTCTCCTCCCAGACTGGCCCAGCCCTTCGTATATTTTTCTGTGCGTGGCCCTCGTGAAAAAAGTTTGGACACCCCTGCTCTAACCTGTACTGCAGTTTCAGTATACTTTTTCCTACTTTCCGATAGTTGGTATTGCTCAATTGTCAAGAGTCTAAAGTTGACATTTTGGGAAATATGTATGTTAGCTTGCTCGTTGACAATCAGTTTAGAGAATTGTCTCTCCCAAAATGTCATACCACTACCTCAAAGATGAAGCCTTTAAATCTGTTACACATATGATTGCCTTCCAATTGCAGCAAAGACGCAGAAAGAGATGTTTGTTGTGTCATCTTAGTTTGTTCTTAGTTAATTTCAGAAAATGACTTGAATGCGAGGGTATTAGCAAGTTAATGTATCATCTTTTCTCTTCTCAAGCACAACAATACTTTGGGGGACGACTTTGCATGTGTGCAAAAAAAAGGCAGAATTACTGTTTACCAAAGTCCTTCATATAGATGGCATAAGATATCAACATTTGTTATATACAAAATATTGCTTTCAGCTGTAAGGGAATTGCTGCGTTATTCCTGCTATGCATCCAGAGCACAATCTTCAGAAATGAAAAGTAAAGATTGGTAATACATGACTCTGGTGCCTTTAAACTGGAATCTACATCTACATACAACAACATACGCATACAGACTTAGTGCTTTCTTAAAACACAAGCAAAAGATCGTGCGTCACGAATGCAGTTATATTGTGATGATTATAAAAAAGAGTGTGACAAACTATCAGACAGTTCTGAACGACAGTTACATTTCATGTATCGTGGGTTGGTGGTTTCATTCCCACCTGGGTCTCCCACTGAAAATCATCGTCACACACACTCATCTGCGTGTTGGGTGTCACCTGACAGGAGCTCCTGGCTGAAGACCCCGAAGCATCCAGAGAGGCTCGAGTCAAGATTTTACGACGGATGGTTGTATGTAGAGTGTGTGTGTGTGCGTGTGTGTGCATCAGTGTGTGTTTGCATGTGTCAGAACTAACGGATGTTGTGTGTTTTGAACGAAACGGCGCTGAGTGTCACTCTAACTCTCCACAGAGCGTCTTCTAACTCACAGCGGAGCAGCTCTGCACCTTTCTCTCGTTTTCTAACAGCCACCGAGTCCTGAAACGTTGCTTCCTCTGAAAACAAAACAATCAGCACAGCAGCTCTTACGTTGATTCAACCTTCCCTTCCCTGCTCTTTCTGTTTGTTTGTTTGTTTGTTTGTCTGTTTCGAAGACTTTGGCTGATGCAAAGCCTGCAGCTGATTTACAAAAGTCTATGTTTTTAACCACTGGGGGGCGACAGCGTGAAGCTCTCTTAGAATTCAGAATCTTTCCCATGTCCTCACTATTCTCTATTTTTCTATCACTCCTAACCTTCAGGATCTAATGGAGCAGCTGGAGAAACAGGACCGAACCATCCGCAAGCTGAAGAAGCAGCTGAAGGTTTACTCCAAGAGGATCGGAGAGATGGGAGGTAAGGGAGAAACCATGGGTCAGCAGAGGATTAAGAGTCTGTACGTTTGATCATAACGGTACAACATATAGCCTGATGTTTTATGTCTTGTGTTTCACAGCGGGTCAAACCGAGGGACAGACGTCTCCGGGACAGGTGGTGGACGAGCCGATTCATCCTGTCAACATTCCCCGCAGGGAGAAAGATTTCCAAGGGATGCTGGAGTACAACAAGGAGGATGAGCTCAAACTGGTCAAGAACCTCATCCTGGGTAAGACCTTACTATAAAGAGCATTAACACGAGTCATCAAAAATCCTGAATAATCATTGAGAGGTCATTTAAGGACACTTTGGGCTCTGTCTCAAGTTGCATTTTGAGGATTTAACTTGGAACTGTTTTACTTTTTAAGATAACTTTAAATCACTCAATTCCATTTATCAATTAAAGCTGCTAGAACAAAGATTGTATTCACAGTTTTCTCTAGTCGGAAACCATAACACTTTCGTAGAATATGAAGCTGAAGCTTGTCTCTGAATTCTTGATCACTGAACTCTTGTCTCTGCAGAGCTGAAGCCTCGAGGGGTAGCTGTGAATCTGATCCCAGGTCTACCGGCCTACATCCTGTTCATGTGTCTGAGACATGCCGACTACGTCAACGATGACCAGAAGGTCCGCACCTTGCTCACCTCCACCATCAACAGTATCAAGAAGATCCTGAAGGTATGCATACTGTGTTTGTGTGTAGGGCAGTAGTTCTTATATAAAGCTGAATGATGATGTCAATCCTACAAAGAAAGGATGATGAGAGTTTCTGGGCGATCTGTACACAGTTGATTAGTACTTGTAGCATTACATGTCCCTGGTAAGTGTCGAGTAAATGTGTTTTAAAGGTAATAGCAGAATCTGTTTCTTCTTTATTTGAATCAAGATGCTTTAAAAGCTGCTTCTCAGTCATCTGGGGGACGAAATGACTGATAGAGGCTCTGATAGGTCTTGATTATCAATATAACCTGCTGATTTACTGACTTAATTTGTTCTTTCAGAAACGAGGAGACGACTTTGAGACCGTCTCCTTCTGGCTATCCAACACCTGCCGCTTCTTGCATTGTCTCAAACAGTACAGCGGAGACGAGGTGAGACTGACACAACACCAACAGAGAAACTCTCTCAAATATGTACACAGTCATGACTCATGAAGAAGGATTGTTAGAATTCTACATTATTGTTTTTAATTAAACAAGAACAGTTGTAACCCAGTATCTGCCTGTGTCTTCGTGTCAGGCCTTCATGAAGCACAACACAACGAGGCAGAACGAACACTGTCTGTCCAACTTCGACCTGGCAGAGTACCGACAGGTGATCAGCGACCTGGCCATCCAGATCTACCAGCAGCTCATCAAGTGCATGGAGAACATCCTGCAGCCCAGTATAGGTGTGTGCATGAACACGTCTGAGTGTGTGTGCCACTGCTAGGGCTGGGGATCACCAGAAGTATCACTATACCATTGTAATACAAAAAGTGTACAAATTGCGACTTTGTAATATACAACAAATATTGCAATGTATTTATTGTTCAAGTGCAAATTAGAGAATAGAGTTTAATTACAATTGTATTGCGGATTGCCAAGCAGGCAGACTTGTCAACACTGTCAAAAAAAAAGTAGTCTGACAAAGTGTCAGTTTTACATTATAAAATGTCCAACTTATCCAATGCATATGTATTTTTTTTAAAGTTAGATTTGTTTTTATAATATGTAATGAAAGATTAACTTTGTCACATGAACGAACAAGACTTGGTGTTCGCGTATTCATTGACCATGCAATATCATGATGCTTTGCTTTATCAAATGACCCACTCCTAGCTTAATCTACAAGCTAATGCTACAGTAGAATAATGTCATTTCCACATAATAATAATAATACATTGTGATTTAATTGTGCTTTTCCTGGTGCTCAAAGATGCTTTACAAGCAAGTAAAGAAAAATAACAAAAGCTAATAAAGTAAAAAGTGCTAAGTTTAGAGGAGTAGGAGTTGAAGGCCATAGTTCTTACAGTAAAGTACCTGTGTGTGTTCTCTGCAGTGTCTGGCATGCTGGAGCACGAGACCATCCAGGGCGTGTCGGGGGTGAAGCCCACGGGTCTCCGTAAGAGGACGTCCAGCATCGCGGACGAGGGCACCTACACCCTGGACTCCATCCTGCGGCAGCTCAGCGCCTTCCACTCCACCATGTGCCAGCACGGCACCGACCCCGAGCTCATGAAGCAGGTGGTGAAGCAGCAGTTTTACATAATCGGGGCTGTCACCCTCAACAACCTGCTGCTGCGCAAAGACATGTGCTCCTGGAGCAAAGGCATGCAGATCAGGTGAGACAAGGGGCTGCTGGGAGGGAGACTGCTCTGCTTTATGTGTTGTGAACACTTAAAAGGGTGTCAAACTCAATTTAGTCGAGGGCCACATTGTTATGGTTACACTCGAAGGGCCGGTTGTAACATTAAGACTTTATAAATTTGCATGTATAAATATATCATACATATATAAAATAATGTATTATATTACATTATGACCTCTGCATTGGATTATTATCGGATAGGGTAATAACTTCATTATTAACCACGTCTGAAAGCAGAAGTCTCTTGAGTGGCATGTCACAAAACGAGATGCATTGTGGGATATGTAGTTTATGGGCAACGTGCTTCTGTAAAGCGACATGTAACCTTGAGTTTGACACCCCTGACTTAGAGGGATAGTTTACCCCAAACTCAAAAAGACATATTTCAGTCTAGATTGTTTCAGGTGTGTTTTCACAATTTTGTAGAGAAGTATGCTTACTCTGACTCAAAGTATACAAGTTATTACAATTATTTCTTTATTTTACCTACTTTGCAACTTATTTTTTTAGATTGTTTAAGTTCGCACCTACAGATACCAAAGCAAATTCCTTGTTTGTGTAAACGCACCTGGCAATAAACTTGTTTCTGATTCTGATCATTCCTGAACTGAAAATGTTACTTTAGTGGAAGTACAGAAGTTTTATCAGCAAAATGTATCAAAACTAAAAGTACTTGATATGCCTAATTTCTCTTTTCACAATATTTTGTTATTACAAAAAGTAACATTCCGTTTTTATTATCAATTAATACATATCATTTAAACAATGTAGTTTGTGATTGTTGAGCCAGTTTTTCTTGGTGTTAGGAATGTTATGCTTTTGGTTGATTGCGCTTATCATAAGTCACTTAAGCATGAGCTAAATCAAATGTATTGTAATGTAATCGTGTGTGTGTGTGTGTGTGTGTGTGTGTGTGTGTGTGTGTGTGTGTGTGTGTGTGTGTGTGTGTGTGTGTGTGTGTGTGTGTGTGTGTGTGTGTGTGTGTGTGTGTGTGTGTGTGTGTGTGTGTGTGTGTGTGTGTGTGTGTGTGTGTGTGTGTGTGTGTGTGTGTGTGGTGTGTGTGTGTGTGTGTGTGTGCGCAGGTACAACGTGAGCCAGCTGGAGGAGTGGCTCAGGGACAAAGGGCTGATGGTGTGCGGGGCGAAGGAGACGCTGGAGCCTCTAATCCAGGCCGCTCAGCTGCTGCAGGTAAAGAAGAAGACCGACGAGGACGCCGAGGCCATCTGCTCCATGTGCTTGGCCCTCACCACGGCTCAGGTACACTGTCCTACAACACTGCATTCAGAGAAACCAGACAAGATGTCTCTGTCCGTCTGAACGCTAAGAAATGTGTTTGTAACTGTCTGTGTTTTGTCTCTTTCAGATTGTGAAGGTCCTGAACCTTTATACACCAGTCAACGAGTTTGAGGAGAGGGTATCAGTGTCATTCATACGAACCATACAGGTAATTCACTCATGCAGTATTAATACAAAACTGTTTTCTGGACATATGCTACATGTACTATTTTAAAATCAGGAAAACGCCAATCTAGCAATGTTCATTTTAATTTGATAGTAAGTAACTTCAGCCTTCATGTGGCAAATGGACAACACTAGCACTGTTGCTAATTCATTTGCACTTGCTACAAAATTGGCAGGGCGTTGTGTTTACTGCTTTTCACTTCACTTGTCTACGTTCCAAGTTATCACTGGCACAAACATCATGTTATTATTGTTAAATGCAAGGAATTTAAAAAAAAAGTTGCAAGGTGACTGCCTAGCAATTATGCAAAGCACTAGAAAGTGCACAACCACTGGAACAGTCCCCTGAACCCTATTAAGAATATCTCTGTATAAATGTGACTGCATATGATCTAATTCCCTGCTATTCCTGTGCTCTTAATTTTCCATTCAGACTCGTTTGCGCGACCGTTGTGAGAGTCCCCAGTTGTTGATGGACACCAAGATGATTTACCCCGTCACCTTCCCATTCAGCCCGTCCTCACTCGCCCTGGAAACCATCCAGGTCCCCGGCTCTCTTAACCTGGCCTTCCTCACACGTGTCTAAACTCGACAGGAAGGCGGAGAAGATGATGTAGTGGCCACATGACACTCACTAGCCCACAAAGACTTTGTACTACACAATCATCAAAAGAGAGATACAAAAAGAAAATTAAAAGCGTTGAACACACTCAAAAATGAACACGATTTGAGCAGTTATTTCTAAAAGAAAAAAAGCTTCTAATTCAAAACACGGTTTCCAGTAAAGAATCGCTGGTCTGAATCTGGACACTGACACACAAAAATTAAACCCTCAAACACAACCACATGCTGAACTCTAAACATGCATCTGTACAAAACATACATCCTTTGAACGTACACATGCACGCCTTCACTTCTGTCGCACAAAACGCACAGATGCACTCGCTGGTTTAAATGTCATCATCCACTGCTTGTAAAATCGCTTGCCTCTTAGAGAAGCCACAGGGCCATATCAATGCCTCCTCGCGCTCCATCGAGTCCGTCTTAGTGGACCCCAGCTTCCAGATATGTGTGTAAACTCGCTGTAAGATCTCGTCATCGTGTCGTTCCCCGAAGAGAATGTATATTGCCACACAAAGGAGTAGAGTCCTCAGAAAGAAAGTAACTTGATGAGGTTGGTATGTCGGGTCTCAAAGTGAGTTTTGAGTCCGCATATGAAGCTTTATGAGTGATAGCCATGCTAAAGTTAGCTCTCTCCACCCCCATGTTGAGTTAACCTGGACCGGGCTTCCTCTCTGAAAACAGTCAAGACAACACAGAACTCATCGTCTGTACTATATCATTTATACATATATAAATATGAATAATATATATATCGTGTATTTTATTTATTGCATTTAACTCCGTCCCCACCCTCCCTTTTTGAGATTAGAAGCTTTCTCCTCCGATATATGAAGGATAGGATTCCCGAGATAATCGGCTCCATTGTTAAATATTTACGTCTATCAGGTAAATGATGTAGTGCCAGCAGAGATGATTATTTCTTAGGTCAAGTCTTAACTTAACTGTCGCATTACCATGTTTACCCTGATGAAGTGTAGCACGGGTTTTAACTGAGGAGAGATTTAGAAAGTTGAAGCTTTGACAAAGGTTTAACCTGCTGTAGTCTGTACTGTTTACAGCTGTGACCCGAGCTCAGAGAAAACACTGGCACAAAGATATGAAGTCACTCTCTCACACACTGCTTACTGCTGAATCACCGAAGGGGGGGGGGGTTGCACTGCGTACGCTTTACTCTCTCTTCTCGTCTTCTCTGGTCAAAGCCTGTTTTGTTATCATCAACGTGGAACTATTTATTTCAGTATTATCATTTTCTGTTGTGTATATCGTGAAGAAGCCATGTATCACTGAGCAGAGACGACAGAAAAGGTCTCTTGGGGGTTTGTCATGGATATGTCCATCTTTACAACATTTGTATCTGCTTTATTCCCACAAAGACCACAAACCGCAGCTTTGGAGGCCGATTCCTCTCCTCTCTTTTCATTCATGTCCGTCCTATGCCTTCCTGTTCAGCGGCCAAGACAACACAACATGGGCCTTTTTATTACCAAAAACAACAGAATAGGTGCAGCTGTTTTCCATTCCAATTGCACGGTTAAATTAAGGGTTTACTGACATTTTCTTTTTGGTGCACAATATGTTTTGGTCCAGATATCCAGTCATATTTAAGACTTTCCTTCAACTGTGATATTACACCTCACCCGCTATAACTCAGTATGGATACATTGCTGCTGCTGCCCTCATACAACCAGCATGCGCTTTGCTTTACTAGTTAGTAGAAATACAACTTCACACTTTTGTTGTTGTTTTCTTCTACAAAGAAACATCGATGTAGTCTTCTGATTGGAGAGTGAGAGAATCTGCCCATGTTGTTACAGAAAGTGTTTTGTCTGCGTTCACATTGTCCTCGCTGCCTCGTGTTTAGCACTTTCCCCCCCATTTACTTTGTGCCATTAGTATTAACAGCCAACCCAATTTGCCTCTTACCCTCATGTGAACCTTACTTTGTCCTAAAGGCCTTTCACAAACATATTTCACTTTGATAGAATTTTTTTTTTTTTAAAGGTGCTTAAATATATAGGAGGTTGTGAATCGTCTCCAAAAACTGAACTCGGTACGTTTTATTGGTTATGTTTTGTTCCTTCTAAAACCAACCAACATTCAACCAAATGTGTTTTACATTTGAAATATCCGTGAACTTGCTCTTGTGAAGCTACAGTACATGCTGAGAAATATACATATTTAAACATCTTCAAAATTGTAAGTGGAGTAAAGAGAAGTTAGTGTGTGAAGTTTGTGTTGCACTTGTATTTGAGAATAATTGAATATGCTCTCATTGGGACCACATGTTATCAATCTGCCTTTTTGTTACATTATTAGGTGGTTTCAAGTATGCTTTGTGTAAAGAGTACATATCTGTTGCAAGTAAGACGGTAACTGGAAGGAATTTATTTAACATATGAATGTTTGAAGTTGTTAATGAAGTGTTTTAGCTGCACATTTTTGGGCAAAGCCTTATTTGAATATTTGCCACCTGAGTGACTAAAACACAAAATCGTCAGTGTCACTCCAGGGTTTTTTTCCACTGTAAAATTAATATTAAATGTGATATTTTGTTCTGATAAGGTGTCCTTTTGGTCAACAGTTATTGCCACAGGGTTGCACTGTTTTGCCATAAGTCCAAAATGCATTTTTTAGACATTGCTGAGGAAGACGGATAAATAATAGATTGACAAGGACTGTAAAATGAAACACTCCCAACACCTTCCTACTGAACTGCAACCCATTAAGCTTCCTCTGCCAGTGATCAGTCATTTATTTTTGCAGTTTTATTCAGACTATGAAATATTGCAAGCCACAGGAAGGAAGACACTTGTGATTGTGTATGCAGCACCAGCTTTCTCACACTTGCTCAGACTATCCTTGTCGTCTGATATATTAAGAATAGTTTCAGTGGAGCGTTAAAAAACATTTGCATTCATGTGTTTGTATTGTTGAGCAGGGTTGTTTCCCTGGGTTTCTCTTGGGCTGTCAAACAGAAATAAGTGTCATTCCTTCACTCTGCGTTTTTACACGAAGGGGAGAGTTGGTTGTACGATACGACGTAGACATTATAAATGACCATTGTTCTTATCAGCACTAGCGTTGAATGTGCCATTTTAAATATTGTTAACGATCATAAATCATCACCTCAGCTGTCGTGGTACCGGTGTGAACACGCTGGTACCAGATGTTTCCTCTATGACCCATGTGTACAAACTGGACTGTTTGTAGTTTCTGGTAGTTGTGCTTAGTGAATGTGTTCACCGTTAAGAAACTTGGAATAAATTGTCAAATCTGTAAAAGTAAAATAAAAGAATACAGCATTGTTGGTTTGTCTCTGGGAGATTATTTCAGGGTTTTTTTCAACAACTTTTGCAGGCAGCAGTCGCAGGACAGGAAGTGCACGCTAAGAATTTCAAAATAAAATCGCCACTATCAGTACAGTGCCACTTTCCGAACAGGAAATTTGGGAGCCTTCCTGACACATACATAAATTGAAGGTTTGTGTTAGTCATTTAACATGCAAGAATCATATACTCATCAGTCCAAAGCAGAGACATGTTATTTTAAACCCCTTCTCAATGATTCTAAATGTTATATTAATTCACCATTTACCGTTTGATAAACGATTAGTTTATCAGAAATACGTTTTCTCTTCCATAAAACATAGGTTTGAGAAATAAATGTTCCAATATAAAATCAATTACTCAATATAATTGACTGCCCTCCCTTTTCTTACATATGTCACATATGAAATAATAACTTAGGAGTCTATTTAAGCATGGTGTAGTTTATAATCTATTAATCAAGAAGACTCAGTGTCACATGTGTGCAGCTTACAAAAAACAATTGTGAGAAACCTATATAATGCAGGAAATGTATACCTTTGTTGAAAAACAAAGCATATCTGATTTGGGAGGAAAAGCTTCATCCCCCTTAACATCTGAGTCACTACTGATGGCATAGCATGACTGATAGCGGGTGTCTGAGGGTGTCATTACTGAGAAATGTCAAACAAATTCAAAACCTTAAATTTTTTTGAAAACAGGTTTGCAGTCCTCCACTTAAGGTGATGTTATCATTGGAAAAAATAAAAGCTAATTGTTTCTATGTAGAATCTATAAATTGAATCGTTAGAGCAGAACGGTCGTATTGTAGGCTGATTTTCGTGCAGCCTTTAGTTTTCCAGGTGGAAACATGGTCTATATAATGTGAATACATGTAGAACTAGACATTAAGAGGCCCCTGACATTAGGCCTATTTTAAAAATAGGGCTTTTAACAGCTTGCCAACTTAGAGGCATCCTCTGCATAGCAGTATGAATAGCCTTAAAAAAACAACCCACTCTGCGGTAACGAGTCATGTGAACCAAATTCCCTAAGTGAAGCCATTAGTCTCATCTGACTGACCCAAGGGTTGGTGCTGGTGTGACAGGGAGGCTTCCAAGTGTGTTGCCATAAATCCAAAATGCATTTTTTTTTTTAATCGCTTGCCTCTTAGCGAAGCCACAGGGCCATATCAATGCCTCCTCGCGCTCCATCAAGTCCGTTTTAGGTCACTCTCACGGCATTTCATGTTATAGTCACGATATTTAATCTACAGTATTGATTCGTGTTCACCAACACGATTATCCCTTTTTTTTTTCGTGTCACACAGAACGATTTTAAAAGCAATGTATTTCTACTGGTAATGTGTTTCGTGCCTGCAGCACGTCTTTTTCTCCGGTCGGATCGTGGAAGACCAGAAGCCGTGTGGTTCATAAAAACATGTTCTTACTCGATATCAAGCCACAATTATTGCTTTTATTTTAAATCGTATAATTGCGGACTTTTGTTGCTGTCTGTGAGGAAAATAAATGGGGCTCAGAGCCTCAGAATACTGAAATCTGTATTGTTTAAATCTTTTTTTCCATCTAATTTGTTATTCTTTTCAAAATAACACACTGTTATTTACTCACCAATAACACACAATTATCCTTGTTTTTATTTATTTGTTTAATTCCATAATCTCGGGCTTTTTTGGCATCCGTCAGGAACTGAATTTTAAAATTAAAATAACCGGAAACAGACGTAGGCATTTCGAGCGATTACCCAAGATCCTCAGCTATGGTTTTAGCCGCAATGCATACAGGGATTTGGTGTTTATATGATATGCTTTTAATTGAGCTGCACTACAGTATGCCTTTTTAGTCATGTATTCTGTACCTGCTGTGTTTATTTATTTTATTTCATTACCTTTGCTTATGCCTGTTTTTAAATGCCTTTTTAATAATGTATTTATGCTGTATTTGTTCTTGAATGTCTTTTGCTTTTAATCTGTAAAGCACTTTGAATCGCCACATGCTGAAAAGTGCTATATAAATTGCCTTGCCGGCAGAAGCTGCAAGGGCAACAGCCCTGGGAAACTGGAAATGTTGGAGTCCCTTGGTTTTTGCAAGTACTGGGCATTCCTTTTCCCAGTGACCTTTACCCAAACAAAAGTTGCAAGTACTTAGATCTACTTTACCTCTGGGGTCACCAGACAGTTATTTCTGCTCCCCCAGTCAAATATCTCCCCTGAATGAATCTTGTGTGTTAAAGTGTATTCATCAGCTAACACCCCATTGTCTGTTACATTTTTAACCTTATGCTCATTCAGGACGTTGCAACGCGTTCTGGAAGGATAACTTTGAATTGCTCAAGAAGGAACAGTTCCCTCAAATCATTAAGATTTACTACTTCGGAAGCTGTGACCCATCGATTACATTTCATCGTCAGCTCCCGAACAAGTTCCACATAGGTCTGTCCTTCTGACTTCCTTAGCTTCCTGAACTGCTGACGGTAGGCCTCAGGCACCAACTCATAAGCTTTTAACACTGCAGTCTTTACCCTTAAGTAATCTTCACTGTCAGCCAAACTTAATGCAGAAAATTCTTCTTGAGCCCTACCAGTTAACACACACTGTAATATCAATGTTTTCTCCGAATCAGACCACTGTCGTCTTTGGCTAAGTCGCTCAAAAAGTCCAAAAAAATAATCTACTGTCTTCTCATCGAATTTCGGTAACAACCTCAGGTTATAAGCTACATCAAAAGTTGCTGGGGACACCCCAGGAGAAAGCTTACCCTCTTGGATGAGGTCCAACTTGTAACGCTCTTGTTGCAATTCAGCTTCCCGCACCACTGTAGTTAACCTTAAACGCTCCATCTCAGTTTCCTGCTCTAGCCCGGTCCTCACGAGCACTTGCTCGTTCACCGTCTTGTTGGTACTGCAGCAGCATTATTTCCTTTCTCTGACAAATGTCATTGCACCAAAGTCAAACAAAAAAAAACCTGCACTTCTTTGCCGCCCTGGATTTATAGCTGCCTTCTCAGCCAACTCATCCTCGGAACAACCATCGATAGCCACTGCTGGCAGAACTTCTTGCAGTACCAACGTAATGTATAGTCACTATGGTGTCTTTACGACCCTGCTTTGGAACGTCTACCACAAAATGCTCTGCAATTTTTAACAGTTGATCTTTGGTACATTTTTCCAGCAGTTCCACACTGGGACACTTAACAAAATGTGTCAATGTAACCATGATTATGCAAACTCTCTTGAACCTGGGGCACAAACACTTAAAATGATTTTGTTTGTTTTTTTAAATGTATTTTAACTCTCGAATACCTCTCCCCTAGCTAACTGCCTACCCAATACTAACTATCTTGTCTCACCCTAGTCTTCATGCATGCCACGACAGGTGTTTTAAACACTTACCCAATGACCCGGTAAAGCCCCAGCAAAGCTGTTACTCACCAAGACAGCCACGGACGTGTACCCATGACAACAACAAAAAATCGTGTTTATGCACAAAAATAACAAACCAACAAGCTCCCCTGAAGGAGATGTTGCTTATGCCTATCAGGAAAGGTCATTCCAAAGCTACTCCTTAATGCCCTACACCAAGAAAAAACGGTCTAACAATCAAGGCAGACAAATCAAGTAAACGCATATCACCTGGTTCTTAGATCCCGGACGAGACCCCATATGTTACAAGCTGGCACTGCATGTAACATAAGGACAACAGTTCCACACAGGAGTTGCCCAAAACAAGTATTTATTTACCAACACAGTGGTTACAACCAACAATAAAACAACCACAGGAGCGGTGTCCTGGTGCACCGAGCAGGGCAGCTGAGAGAGAGAGAGAGCCTGTTCTGCAGCCCTCTTAAATAGTGGAACCAGGTGCCACAGGTGGGTCTCATCACTGCTGATTACAAGGAAAACCCAGGTTACAACAGCACCACATGGTGGACAACCACAGGGTTGTCACAGTCTTTTGAAGAGATTTTTCATTTATTCTTTATATATAAAATCTCGCCTAGGGCAGCAAATTGGCTAGAACCGGCCCTGGTACTAGGCCTCAAGAGCCTTTCTTGTGCTGGCAGACACATAGAAACAAATTGTCGGGGCGCACTTCGCACGTGCACACACTAAAATATTCCACGCGCTCCACGCTCACATTATGCTGGGCCCTCGTGCCTTAGCACCGCTGCTATGACTCCATCCTAGGAGAAACACTGTGTCCTAATAGGGCCTTGTGCAGAAAATGTGATTCCTTGAGTTGATACGCAGATAACACTTGATAATACCTTTATTTCAAGGTCTTGAGTAAACTTGGAACAAACAAAACACTCTACTGTGAACTAGGTCACAAACAAAAGAAGCACCAACACTGAACACAGGCGTAGACAAGACTAAATACAGGGAGGTGTAATCACAAGACGAGAAACAGCCGGGCAGGGGAGGAGAAACACAAGGGCCACAGGTGAACACAATCAGACAACTAGACACACCAGGGAAACTAACGACGGGAGGAAAAACACAGGGAAAAGGACCAGACAATATACCAGGAGGAAAACATGACAGCAAACACCCAAACATACAAAACTACAAACGTGACATAAACCTAGGAGTGTGACATGAGTAATACAAAAAAAAAGCGAGTTAAATGAACTGCATTGGCAGCATTTGAAAAGCTTTGTGTTGACTTTATTTCCTTGAAATTGTTTTGTTTTCTTTCACTGACCACACAAGACTGCAGATGATCAGAGCTTCATGTAATAGATTATACATTTAATGGGAGTAAACATGTCGTGGCTCATTCTTGTAGGATATTTAAAACGGTGCCACATTAACTGGGCTCTGCTTCTTGACTCACATTAAAAACAGTCCAAATAAAACTCTGTAGGCGCTGATTTCTTTGCCTTCCTCTGGCGGATTGATTTACTTCTTCCATAAAATTAAACAACCAAATAAACAAAAATGATCAGTGTAACGTGAGCTCAAGGACTGTACCGATTCCCCA